GAAAAATATTCTGGGGCAGTCTCCTCGGGATCAGTAATCACATTTTGTAATACATGCACAGCATTGAGAAAGTGCATACACTGGCCTTATTAGAAAACAGTTGCTTGAATTGTTGCTTAAAAGATTAATTTTATGGTTTTGTTTGTTTCACATCTTAATCATCATTTTCATGGTGATAAATTTTAGCCGTTTGTTTGTTTCACATCTTAATCATCAATTTTATGGTCATTAAGCATGTTTCAAGCAGAAAGGAACTCCCTGTAACAAAAGCACATCAACCACTGGGCCATGAGCCACACATATTGCCCACCACGGAATGACTCTATACAGTTCTGGCTCTTGACGAGGGCATTAAATTTTTTCATGGGGGTGATTGTGATACCCAATAGTCCACATTGAGAGTTGATAATGAGTTGGAGTTTGTAAGCCTATCAGGACAAGTTGTGACAACTTTCCTTGCGCTAATCAACAAATGGCAATAGTAGGCCCAAAAATCTTATTTTGGGAAGAAAATGGCAAGTTGATGTACAATATGTGGATTCTATTTCCTATGGTAAATACAATGTCCTTTGACTTTTATCCAGCTAACACGGATAATCTACAATCTCTAAGAAATCATGATTCATTCATTCAAATGAGCACACTTTATAAGCTCATTTCATAGTAGACCCTGTGGTATGTATTTCTCAGCCATCACATATCTTTATGCATTATTATGTCAAACTTAGGTAGCAGATTTAATACATTAGATACTGAGTCATTCAAGACATCAAGTTATTTAAAATTGAAGGTGAAAAATATAAAGGAGTAAAAATATAAAGATACTTCAAGAGATCAATTATCACAAGTAGCAATTGTTGGGCTTCAAAGTAAGAAGTTACAAGACCAGCACAGTCACCATAGTTATGGATGCCTCAAGAATCAAAAAGCGTACCAGATTCTTTAGTTCTGTTCTGTTTATTATTTCTTTGCTGTATATGTGAAGGCATTGCAAAAATTCCTGGTATGTATCACGGTGCAACTTCTCCTTGACTTTCTCACAAAAGTTAAATTCTCGGGTATATACACCTGTCACATTGAAATTGACAGAAGATAAGGTATTACAAGAACAAAACATTTGTCTTAGAGAATCATTAATTGCTTGTATGAGCTTTAAATAGACAACCGAAATGTACCCAGCTAATGATAAAGCTAACCAAGTAATTTTAACAATCACACTCTAGGACCTAACTGCACGAACACTGCAACTTCACTAGACAACCTTCCGGCCTCTCTCCCAATGTAGATATCTATTACTAGAATCAATTTCATGGGAGTTCAGTGAAGTGTATATTTACACTTCATCAAGCCCACAGCAAGCACTAATCAAAAAATGAGCTCAGAGAATCATCAAAAAGTGTTGAGAATTGATGTGATGATATAAAATCCATAGTAACAGTCAACAACTATAGCAGAGATGGAAACATACAATGCTCAGGGTTAAATTATAATACAGCATCCACCGATAAGTGAACACAGAAACATAACTCTTTTATTTTTTTAGTAAATACATCACACTTGTAAACAATATGGTATGATATTGATACCACAACCAGAGATGCATTCAAAACTGACAGCTAAAACAAACAACAAATGGTAGAAGACTCACTCTTCAAAGCATTTTTATCATCAAATTGTGAAGCTGAAATGCTATTCATGGCAATATTACCGCCTTGATGCATCGGCTCAGCAGTAGGGTCATCCACCCTTCTAGATGGAAGTTTACGCCTACACTGTTCATTGTCTAAATCTCCACTATCATGCTCCAATTCCTTTTCATCACGTTCATGATATCTTTTGTCCCTATCTTCTTTCCTATCCTTTTCCTTCTCTGCATGCCTTCTCTGACTATCATGCTCCATATCAAGACGATCGATGCTTAAGTCACGGTTGGCATGTGACGTATAAGCTTTCTCTCGCTATAGAACCAAAAAGCAAGAATCATATTATTTCAAAACACAAAGATCAGATATTGAATTTTAAATTGTCTTATTAACATATGCACACAAAAAAATAGAAGCACAAAACATTTGGGTTGAAACATGAACCATAAAAACTCTATAGAGAAGTAGGATATGACATCTTCCTTCAGTAGAGACCAGAAGTGAATGCATTTTCAACACTCAATGGTCAAAGGTGTCTCTGTTTAATAGAACCATTGTCTTTAATTGCAACCAGTAACTTGTGAAAAAAAAAAGTGTACCTTATCTTCTCTTGCTAAAGGCATCACAGGGCTCCTCTCATCTCGGTGTGCAAAGGATCGATCAGGATATCCAAGATGTGGAGCATATGTTGCTGAGGCATCAGGCAAAAAGTGTGTGAATTCCTCAAGCAAATCTTGATGATTCTGAAAGAGGGCTGCTACCTATAAACATATACAATCAGGTGGTTCAAATCACGCATACTTGTTAGCATAAACCACAGCATAGAAATTGGGAGCAAAATACCTCTTCATAGACCTCACGGATTGGCTTATTCTCCCTTCGATACATATTCAGAATATCTAAGAATGACTTGTAAACATGTTCATCATTCTGAAAACGACTCTGCATCAGAAAATACATATCACATGAGTAGCTATTGAGGTGCTAGCAAAACAATTCTAGGACTAAGATAACTTTTTGCTGCATGTATACCTTGATTTTGTTAACAAAAACGATTGCTTCCTCAAATTCGACTGGTTTCTTTTCTTCCGGTAGCTTAATCTCATATCCCTTTGGCAAGAAGGTGTTGAAGCCTAGGATTAGATCCCGGTGCCCCTTAAATAATTCCTTCACCCTCATGATAACCCCATTCGTGTCAATCCTGCAAGGTATTCACAACAAAATAGACAGATAAACAGAACAAAGAAGCATTAAACACAAGTCTAACGGGAAACAGAAGAAAGGAAAAGTTGGAAAAATAATGATAGAGATGAAATTGAGCTGAACCTCTGGCTCTTGAAGTCCTTCATGACCTCAAGGAATTCATCATATTTCTCCCTTTTGTCATGAAATATATCCTTCACAGCCTTCAAATAGGCTAGGGCATCATTAGTCGTCAGCTTGGAAGTACTACCAGCTGCTGCTGCCGGCGCCATATGGGTTTGCCAAGACCTGTCCAAACGCCACCAGGATTCATTAATCACAACAGATCCAAGCACGTATCAAAATTTTCCTAATAAAGGATGAGAATGACCAAAACTAGCAAGACTGATCGAAGGGGAAGGATCAATTTTTCGTCCCTCCTCCAAATTCTGCTCACAAGAAATTTTATTTTTATGTTTACCTCTTATATCTCAGACAAGAAGGGCCACCAAAGTCAAGTACTGCATAAATCGAAATAATCGGAGGAAAAAATCGCATTCATCAGTAACAATACCGTCCATCAAACCGACAACACCACCCAAACAAACCAGAGTGAAGTCCGCTCCTTTAAAGAAAGAAAAGTCTCGAAAAGCGAATCGATAAACGAACCAACTGATACGATGGGCCGAGGAGGAAGAAGAAGGAACCCACGGATCCGCTCGAGGAACGTTAGGCCACTTGAGCTGAGAACCCATCAAAGCCTCCTTCCGTGCCCCTTCCGACCATCCATTAAACAACCAAGGTCAGCTTTAACCCTCACCAAAATCCTCTTTTTCCCCTATTTACACCGACAAGCTGCGAATCAAACCCCGAAACGAGGCGAGTCCTCGATATTTCTCCTCTCTGCACCTCCTTTCTCGGCTCAAATTCCGATCAAACTCATACGAAAGAGGCAATTCTCCGGGATCAAGGTGAAGAAAGCTCGCGGTAGAAAAGAAGGCGGCGCTGACGAGATAGGAAAGGGAGAGTAGTGCGAGCTCTTCTTTGCCCCTTTCCACGGATTAAAGGACCAGGAGGAGGCGGACGCGAGCGGGGCAGAGAAGAGAAAGCTGAACTAAAATCATACAACAGAGACGAGGTGAGAGCTCCCTTATATAGATCCGTGAAGTTACCGAAACAACCTCGGTCCGGAGACGGCCCCCTCACCCGAAGGCCGCTGATGAGCCCGTCTTCCCCGTCCGATCAAGTGACTTGCAGCGATCGGACGGCAGAGATGTGATGTACTCTAGGGTGGGCGGGGTGGTGTCACCGCCATATGCGATGAGGTGAGGTTACCCTCCGGGTCTGGTTGCGGTGGGGAGCCAAATGTGGGGGCTTCTAGTTTAGTTTGGGACAATCTATCAGGTCTTTTAGCTCACGTCGATGGATGCTGATTTGTGCATTAGGGAATAGATGACAATATAATGAGTTAAATCATTGAATTTACCATGTTATGTATCGAGATAATTCATATCAATTCTTGTTCTCATTCTCCTACCCAAATAAATGTTGGGTGTATCACAATTACATGAATCCAAACAATTTTCTAAGGAACAAACATGGCAAAAGAGAGTGAATCATTTTGATTCGTTTCCTTCTCATATCAGTTCGAACTCCGAATCGAATGCCCAAATTAACTCAGATATGCTACAGATTTTAATAGTGTCATAGGTGCAATAAGCCAAAAGGGGGTACAAAGGGTCGATGCATACCGCACGCATCGATATGCATCCTAAATGTATCCTTTCTTATGGTTATAGCCACAGCATCAGCAGCTACTCTGGAGATGCTCTTCCCTGCAACTTCAACGCTTTGTTGATACCTCTTTTAAACCATGGCCTAAACTCTTTGACATCACAGTTTCATGTACACAAATGGGTTGAAGCATTTGCCGACCACACAAAATTGTAACATATCTACATCATTTACAAGCTGCTCATGTTTAAGGAACCTCTCCCAGCACAAAAATAGTTTGGAAGTATGGAATAATGCTACCTTGATTGATAGCTTCTAAAGTTCAAAGTCACAATCAGCAGCATATCAGACAAAATTCTTCTTTAATTGAATTTTGAACATCTGTAAATTTCTCACCAAAGAAGTCAACATTCGGTGGTCTTCGAGAAACTGGTTGGACCAAAAAAAAAAAAAAGTTTTTATTACCAGGAGAAAGTCGACTGTACATGCGCCATAAGCACCAGTTAGAAAGGCTAGGTTCCAAAAGCTTGTTGAACAACATATCTCAGAGGTTGCTCAAACATTAAGAACAAACTCAAAAGAAATACAGACATGAGCAAAAGCGACATTCCGAATGAGTTGTGCTTGTTAATCCTTCTTTCTCGGACATGAGGTTTGAAACGCATTAGCTCCTTGCACAGATCATCATGATCCTGAAAGAGAAATAACAACTTGGAAACCACGAGAGGAAAATGCGATTAAGTCTTCGGCGAGGAAGAAAAATTTGTAATTAACAATGCATCTAATGTCACGATACTCTTACATTATGGTAAATTTCTGGGGGTGTCTGCTCCTTCTGGCTGAGAATGTCAGACAATGACAGGTATAACTGGTAGTCACGAGCCTGAAAACGCAAGACCTACTGATCATAAAAGATGGAATGAAGTGGCATTTTGCTGAACCATTTGAAGTATGGTTGTACTTTAAGATGCTATCACTCTCTACATCCCCTTAGAATTTCTTGTATATGTAAATATCAACACTTCTACCAAAGCTAGTAGTATTCCCACTCCAATAGGATTACACTTTTATTCAAGCCACAAATTGTCTATTTAAAAAATATCAATTTATTTATGCCATTAAATTAATATTGGTTAGAGATACAGAGCTGCTTGACCAATTCACTAGCGATCAAAAAAGTTGTTGATGTCAAGGCAAAGTAGGTATGTCCAGTTAAGATGTCCGGAAATGATAGTCTACTGTTCCCATTCCCCACTGTGATCCGACTGACAAAAAGAATCTAGATCAAAGATTCTTTTGAAGTGATCTCTCTTTTTGACTTAAGATTCTAGTAATTCATTTCTTATGCACAACAAGAAACTCTCTGTGAAACTGTCACAGTCATGCTGGCCATGATACATAATAATCTTTATTCACTTCCTCTTTCAAAATTTATACCGTAACTGTAATGCAGAAATACCTTCTTGAACTTTATTCTGAAAGGTTTTCATCGTGACTAATGATTTATTAACCCAAACCAAAATGTGACACAACACAATGACAAACACACAATCCTTGGTGGGAAACAATTAAACATCACTTTTCAGTCCATAATGTGCTTCAGGATTTTGCAACATCACTCAAATTCTTCTAAATGTTAAATAGAAACAAAAATCAAACAACAAGCAACTAAAATAGACCATCTAAATTATCTGTTGAAACATAAGATTCATGCGAGCAAATTTAAAAAAATTATGTATGCCGTAAAATTATTGCTGGTCCTCATCCTCTAGATGAACTAAAATCATTGGTACCATAGAACTGCCACTTACACAATTAGTAGCGCTGAATGGGCGAGTGGAAGCAGAAAGATCATTAGGTTAAAGTAATCCTTACAAAGAATTTCTTTCTAGCATGATGGGTACATTAATTATCAAAGATGGCTTTTTTGTGATCAAAAGTGCCTAATGCAACGTTCTTTAAATTTTGCGTGCTTGAAAGAAGTGCCTAATGCAATGTGCTTTATGTTCCGAGTCCTCAATATCATGAAGACAGAATAAAACTTCTTTTTTTTTCCGACTCACCTTTACTTTCTTCACAAAGTCGAGAGATTCTTCAAACGTAACAGGGTTCCATCTCGACAGGAAGGAATTGAAGTCAAACATCAGATTTGGATTTCCTGTGAACACAATTTTCATCCCGGACATCTAAATGGTGCAAACAGCATAAAATTTGACAGTTAAGAATCGATGCGGATAACTTAAACTGTACAAATTAACTAAAAATGATGATGAACAAAGTTTATATTGGCAGCAAAAGCAGAAATGGCATTGATTACTATAATCTAATTATTAATCGAGTGAACAAATGGGGCAAGCCAAATCACTTGTGGTCAAATAGGCTAGAAGTAGCATCCATATTTGATCTTCGTTTTATTCAAACATAACAAATGAGTGAGCGAACTACATTCCCTCAGAAGAAGAACAAAACGTATTGCATCCTCTGGCCAAATCGGGACTTTATCCCGGAGGAATTTTGATCTTCGAACAAAAATTAAAAAGTGACAGCTCCTCCCTTCAATCAGAAGAAATAGCCTTGAGTCCTCTCCTACCATAAAAATCAAATATTTCTTTTCTTAAAATAAAATATAAACTGTACATGTATTCCTAAAAATTGAGAAAAGGGGACAGAACAAGCCCCGAGTTCTACGACAAAAAAAAAAACGATATTTAAGTCAAATGGGATGAAAACTAGAGAAGAACAACAATCATTGCAGAAAAAGAACACCAAAAATGCAACATTTACGCCCAGAAATGATGGTAAGAAAAACACAAAAATTAAAGGTTTTCCTCCAAAAGAAAATAAAAGCTCATCATTCTCAATGAAACTGCCAGAAATTTGTGCGCGATCGGGGGAGGGGAAGGGTACAGAACTTACAAAAGCAGAGGATTGAAGAGTTGGGTAGGGAGAACCCCAGCAAAATGGGAAGCGGAGGGGTGGGAGGAGACGAAACGGGGGCAAGACTTTGATTGTCAGTCTAGTCACCGCCGTGCAGTTACCGCAAGCCAAGCCAAGCCACGGCCGGGAATCGTGCGCTTTTGCAGCCGTACGCCGGTGGAGCCCAGTCGATAAAACAAGAGGAGGTGATGGGCCCACATAGCTGGCAACAGAGAGGAGTTTGGACCTTTCTTCCACGTTGTATAATTGCTGCAGGGGTTGGGTTGGCTTCTCTTTTTCTTTTTTCTTTTTCTTTTTCCTTAATAAACTCATTTTTTTTACTTATCAAATTAATATATATAATAAATATCAAATTGGAATTTTCTTTTTTCCTTTTCCTTACATTTATATCTTGTAAAGTATATAGAATTAATTATATGTTTAGTCATTTAAAAATGGATTTTGTTTTGTTCACTTTTCTTTCTCTCTCTCTCCAGAAACAACAAGACGAGAGATTGAAACAAAAAAATCAAATAATTGAGATTTATTATAATTTTATTTGGTTTGAACCAAATTAGCACAAATCATGAGTTTGTTTGGTATTAAAAACTCAATGTCTTCTAATGCAGATGACAATACAAACGAAGTTGAAAAGGGACCTTTGCTACTTTGAATACAAGCAATAGATTGGTGGCTTAATCTTGACCAAGTTTATAATATAAAATAAATAAATGATAGAAGTCACCGACCACCTAATTTTGCGTTATTTTTTATTCTGGAAAGGTGGCATCAGACGGCTCGTTCTTATGGGTTGTAGTTCTGCTGTCATGGTAAATGATCAGCTTGTCTTCCCATAACCCTAAGCAAACCAATCAGAATTGGATGAGACTTACTTATCCAACATGTTCAAAATCGATTATAGTTAATTAATTTATAAATTCGATTTAATTAAATTGAATCGAATTAGAATTTTCGTCCGATTAGATTGATATAATAAGATTTATGAATTTAACCTTACAATTTTAGAGTTTTTGAGATTTCTGGGCCAGTATGATCGACTAGTTTGAATCAATCAAGAGCTTAAAATAATGAAGTTGGTCAGATTAATATTTTTTAAAAAATTAAAGTTAATTTGTTTCGATCCGAATTGATCAATTAAATTAAATAAAAATAATCGAATTGAGATCCCTTAGTCTTCAAAACCAAATTGTTGGTGAACTAGTTTGATTGAGATGATTCAATTTTAGTTTGGTCAATTCACTTTGAACACCTCTAATAATGATCGATGAGTCTGCAAGACGTTATTAACATATAACATATTAGATATTAATTTAATATAAAATCTATAATCATTATATCATGTGTTATATTATACATGTATGTATATATGTCACTGAATTCGGCATTGCTGGATGATGATGGATAAGCCAACTCATGTTAGAAAATACGATCATTCATCTCAAAGTCACACGCGATCGTGTTTGTAACTCATAAATCAAATTCTGCTTTAAACATAATTTGTTCGGCCAAAATAATTCTAATTAAGTTGTTGTGATCTCTCCGATTTCGTGCCCACTCATGTTGTTGTAATGTCCCAAGTCACGTCGTCAGAGAATAGCCACCCATTTCTTTTCGCATTACAAATCCAACACACCTTTATAATGAATAAACATCATTTGCATAAAAATGATGGAAACAACTCTTCCAACAACAAAAAATAATAATAATAATAATAATATACCCAAAAAGAGTCACGTCGTATGTCGAATCGCAAGCCTCAGTAGTAACTCCATGACAGCACCAGAATCGCGAGTACGGTTCTCGCCCACCATCCCACCTCAGATATGACACTGCTCCTATTCTGCATTTACCGGAGTGATATAGAGGTGAATAAAATCTTATTATCACAAGGAGGAAAAGACATTTCATATATAGTAAGGATAGATAATGAAGACGAGTTTTGATCTCAATCACCAAGTCATCCGGTTGTGGCGCCGGGCTGGGAACGTTCTCCTCTGGGGGTGTTGGTACAGCCGGTGCCGGCGGGCTGTGCAATGTAGGAGCGGGTGCTTGTGCATGCTTCTTCTTATGCCTCCTCCTCCTCCGGTGCTTCTTCTTACTCTTTGCAGGAGCAGGTGCAGGGCTGAGCTCGGGCGGTGCCGATACTGGCACGAGCGCAGCTGGAGCCGGGGTTGGCACTTGCGGCGATGGCGGTATAACGGGTGGCAGAGTCGGTGGAGGCACAGCCGGTGACGGCGATGTTGGCGGCGGTGAAGTAGGCGCTGGTGGTAAAGGTGCCAATGCCGGGGGAGGCGTTAGCGGTGGAGGTGTGGCTGGTGGTGGTGGCAGCACCGGTGGGCTGGGTGAAGAAGCCGGAGGTACTTGCGGGCTTGTTTGGCTGGACGTAGGTGGCGACGTGACCGGAGCTGTAGCAGCGGTGGGTGGTGGTTGTTGAGATGGTGCAGCAGCTGGTGCTTGGGCTCCGGCGATGCCGATTCCAATGCATGCAAGCGACATGAAACAAAGAGTAGTGCACCACAAGGACTCCATCGATAGATGAGGGTCGAGGTGTGTGTGTGTGTGAGGGATGCACGTCCATCTGGTGCTGCATATAAAGAGATCTGACAGCAGCTCGAGGGTTTGCAGGGGGAAGAAAGCAAGGAAGGTGGTTGCGTTGGAGGAGTAATTAAAAGGACAGCAGAACAACTTGATGGAATGATTTGGGTTGGAGACAACACATCATTACCTCCGATCTGGTTTGAGAGCTACAAGCAAGTTAGAACAATTTGAATTTGCTCTTCATGTATTAATACCACAAACACAGCATCATCCAGTTGGGCCTTTCACGAGTTACAGGTACTTGTTGATGGATCTTTTCTTGCTGGAAGATGAAGTGTCAGCATCTGAAGGAAGATGCTTACCACCAACAGGTTTGCTAGTTTCTGAAGAAACCTTCACTCCAAATCTTTTACCACCTAACCTTCCCAAGAGATTGATGAATTAAAATTGTATAACTTATTTATTATTATTATTATTATTATTATTATTATTATACTTGCTCCAACTGTGTAGGTGTAATCACTGTACATGTCATATATCCTAGTAAAAAAGACCTTCAAAACTCCTATTTGCACATGAATATTTATTTTATTTTTCCCCTTGAAAAAACAAACATTACAATTGTAAAACAATAAAATTTTATTGTTTGTGATCATTGGTCATATTTTTAAGATGGTATCAGATGAGATAATTGTATCTTTTTTTCAATGTTTAATTAAAAATATTATGTAGTATCATTTTTCATTTGAACTTGTATCATACATTCATATTTCGTTCATGCAATATCTCAGTACCAAATTACTAACCTTCTTTCGAATTTAGTTATCCGCTTCGAACTCCCTTCTAAAGAATTCCGAGAACTAATTCTTTTTTTTGTCTTTGATTGTTACTAACCTTTTTTTGTGATTCATCTGTCCTAACATAGTTTGGCCATCAAATGCATGGATTAGTGAGGAAACGTCAACTTCTTATGAAACATTTTCATGCCAAGACCAAGATTCTATACAACGTAAACAACAACTGGAGTATGGAACGTAGTCTTGAGAGGAAGTAGGGAGGAGTTGAAAGAATCATCGTCTTCAAGTTTCCTATGATCCATCAAAGAAGCCATTAGGTTTTAGGAACACCCGGAAAAGTCCCCAACGATGATACATTGCTAGTTGATACGACAGTGTTATGTGTTCAATGCAAGAGCGGTTCAAAATCATGCTTCCGAAATGCCAGAAAAATAAATGAAAATTTGGATCCGATCCTGTTTGAATTTAATGGGTACAAATATAAGTTTGACCAAAAGTCAACTGCTGTTCTTGGGGTCCAATTGGATCACAGTTCTGATTGACGACTCCAATTGGACTGGCTATACTCCGAACTGAATTCTTGGCTCCCAAATGCCAACCGCTGAAACAATCTGATATCTGCCGTCTGTCCCACGTTGAACACCTCGCTTTGACCCGGTTTGACACCGTTGTGGAGGTCAACGTCGCTCAAACTATCGAGAACTCTGACCACCTGCAACCAAGAACACATTAACATGGCCACACCAGAAATCCAGAACTAGCCAGGATGTGACGATCGGGTGATACCTTTCCCATTCGAGGCCTCATTGCTGCGGAGTGACGGGTACATGCAGCAGCTGCTTCGATCATCCGAAACATTTCGGTGTCGTCGTAGGCATCTTCCAGCCTCGAATCGGGTAGTTCTCCAAACTCTCCAGTTTCGATGGCATGGGCTAGCAATGGTCGAGCCTGGAAGATTACAGTTGTAGTTGACGTCTGAAGAGGTATAATAGCAACATGTTGATTGTATCTTACTCACCCACTCAACGAGGCTTTCATCGCCCAAAGGACGAGTGCCATCAACAGGCTTTCTTCCGGTGATGAGTTCCAGAAGCACGACTCCAAAGGAAAACACGTCAGATCTCTCGGTCAGCTTGCCACTGGATGCATATTCTGGGGCTAAATATCTGGAAACACCAAACCCTATCATCAGATCGTTTAACATGCTGGGCTGTATGCATGCATGCATATGTTTCACATACCCAAAAGTCCCCATTACACGTGTGGTCACATGTGTGCAGGCATCCATGGCCAACCTTGCAAGCCCGAAGTCAGAAACCTGGGAAATGAATCAACACGAGTTGCTAACACAACCAAAATAAACACTAACACAACCCATGTATTGAGGATAACCTGAGCTTCAAACTTGTTGTCCAATAGAATGTTCGAAGTCTTTATATCTCTGTGAATAATCCTCGGATGACCTGGTCAAAATCCCAACAAGATGAAGAGAGAAACAGTCAAAATAGACGTGAGAACCAAGTTTTAGTGAGGAATTCATACAATCCTCATGCAGGTAAGCTATGCCACGAGCTGAACCAGCTGCGACTTTAACCCTCGTTGCCCAATCCATGGCCGGCCCTCCTTTCCCTGCAGATGCTAATAAGCTATTTTTGACATCAATGACATAAGTAAAAGGAAACCTTACCGTGAAGATGAGATTCGAGTGTTCCATTGGGGACGTAGTCATACACGAGCAGTCTTTGGTTGTCCGAGATGCAGTATCCAACGAGCGAGACCAAATGGCGATGGTGGACACGGCTGATGATCTCAACTTCGGCTTTGAATTCGCGCTCTCCCTGGCCACTGCCCACCTTCAATTGCTTCACAGCCACTTCTCTTCCGTCGGATAAGCATCCTTTGTAGACACAACCAAATCCTCCTTCCCCCAAAATATTCTGAGGTGAGAAGCCATTGGTTATCTCGTACAGCTCTTCGTAGGAAAACCACGACGTTGCGCTACCTATCGTGCTGGCTACCATCGACTCAGATGCCAGACTTCCAGACTTGTGGTGGTTGTGGTGGTGTACAAGAGGAGCCGATGGAGACCTCTGGTGGGACGACTCTGATAAGTAGAACAATGTAAAGGAGGTCAACTATGGCCAAAGTGTTGTCTGCTATTGTCGATGGGAATTACCTGACATTACTGAGGACTGGTATGGTGAAGACATGGCAAAGCCTGATTCATAGTTAGCAGGTGGCTTCCTTCGCTTTCTCCTTACGATCCACGTGATGGCTCCTAGCAGGCCAAGTAACACAACAGCAGTTACCAGAGCAACAGCTACAGCAGGTCCAGCCTTCATGCCGCCATCTCCTGAGGATTGGCCACTCTTCTGTCCCACATCTGAAGTAGGAATTCCCGACCCGTTGGAACTTGGGCTGATCGGATCAGCTGGAGCTCGATGTGAGGCAGAGGGAGAGGGTGAAGGAGGAGAAGGGGGTTTGGGTGGAGCAGGAGGTGTACCGCCCGTAGAATTACTGGGAGCAGGGGCAGGAGGTGATTGGCTGCCAGGCGGCGGGGGAGAAATAGTAGGCGGCGGTGTAGCCGATGGTGGAGGCGGTGGTGAGTTAGTGGGCGGTGGTGTAGCAGATGGTGGAGGCGGTGGTGAGTTAGTGGGCGGTGGTGTAGCAGATGGTGGTGGAGGAGGAGGAGGGGAGGCAGAAGGTGGTGGAGGCGGAGTTGAAGCCGGTGGAGGAGACAATGCCGGCGGTGGAGGAGAAACAGATGGTGGTGGGGGGTCCGGTGGCGGCGGAGAAGTGACAACAGGTGGAGGAGGAACATCCGCAGGGGGTGGTGGTGTTGGCGGTGGTGATGATGCTGGTGGTGGAGAGGGAGGGGTAGGAGGAGGGGCATTGGGAGCAGGGGGTGGTGAGTTGGAGGGGGGAGGCGGGGAGAGGGAAGTAGGTGGAGGCGGGGAAGTTGAAGGTGGTGTCGCCGACGGAGAGGGTGGAGGGGAGGACATGCCTTTATATTTTTCAAGACAAACAAATCTTCTTTCCGCCGCCGGAAGAGGAGGAGGAGGAGGAGGAGAGCGTCAGACTAGTTTGAGCTCCTCCCCTTACATTAACATGCTCCAAGATTGCAATGCCATCGAACGCACTGATCGATACCCATCGAACTCCAAGATTGCAATGCCAAAACCCCAGTAGTAAATTTAGCACATAGCCACAAGCAAATCCATCCAGAACTCACGACTTTCTCTGCACAAGAGTTGAAAGATCCCACCTTTCTCAAAATTTGCCCGACACAAGGACCGACCGAGAGCGTTCCCGATCCCAAAGCGCCAAGCTCCACAGTCCAAAACGAGCACTGCATTCCGCAGCGAATGCCCAACCCCAAAAACGCAACCTTTTCCCGAACAAGCTCCGCCGAGTCCCACCTTACCTTTATCAAAAGATTCCACACCGGAAGGGCGAACCATGAGGAGGAACACAACTCGCACAAAGTCTCGGCCGACCTCCTAAGCCTGCCAGCTCAAGTCGAGCACGTCGCCAAAAACAAATCTCCCATAAAACTAAAGAATGCCCCCGAGCTGTAAACAGAGCAGACCTCACCTCCTCGCCTCTTTCTCCGCAGACGTGCCAACAACTCAGTCTTCGGCCCTTCTTGCGTGTGTGTGTGTGTGTATAGAAATACAGAGAGAGAGAGAGAGAGAGAGAAGACTTTGCTTGAACACACTATCTTCTCCGAAATAGCCTGGAAGAAGTTAGTGACCTTCCTCCAAAGGAAGAGAAATCCTAATTAATGTGGTTTATACGCTCAATATTTTCTATTTAGCAACATAAATGTGGTTGGAGTTGTAATGACTCAAAAGGTTGGCAAATCAAAATATCATCATTATTTAACTGTGCTACTTTGTCAACCTAACATGCAAATTCCAACAACTCACATTGCTTGCTTAGTGGACCCGTTAAACATGGAACTCGAACATGCATTACTGGGTGTCGTCAATGCAGAGCATTCAGGCTTTGACCTTAACGATTTATATTGCATCCAGGTTGTGCTAAGTTACAATGAATCAAAAATGATTCATACAGTTCCTTATAATAATCACAGAACAATTTATAATGAGTAATGGTTCAATCTATTATACCAAATCGAGTGCAAAATCATGTGAAAGAGATCATACTTCACTGGTTTATCGTTCCATAGAAAATGCTTCCGTAATCTCCTCACGTTCGTCTGCATCCTCACGTATCGCCTGCCACTAATTCCCAGTAGAATCTGCTTCAGCTTTGGTATATCCTTCTCTGCTACCACTACAGAGAACGCACCCCAGTCGAGCACTTCTTCGAATGGGAGCACGAAATTATTTGCTATGATCACCGGAACACAGTCGTAATAGATGGCCTCCACAATCCTTGGGCTATTCACTTCATACCCCATTGGGCAGATGCAGAACTTGCTCGATTTCATGTGTTCGATGTATGACATTTTAGCTGCGATCTCATCCGGCAGCACTTCGTATATCCTCATGTCTCTGTCTCTGCCTCTCCAGTACCGAAGAAGGATGGGCCTAACACGGCCGTGCATTTGTCCGGCAAAGAAGGCCAGAATAGATCTCCTGGAAGCAGGTCTTCCTCCTATGGCCTTCCGGGGACTGTTGGGTGTTCTTACGTATGTCTCCGCAAGGGAGACATCTTTTCCACGGACGAAAACTCCTTCAGAAACATCTGCGTTGCATACCACTTTGATCGTGTTCTTCCGCAGATCCTCATGCAGGTTGGTCGTGTAAGTTGCCTGGACGAGAAGAAGTCATAGTTGTGATACGAATAGTAATTGAAAGATTAGCGGGAGCTTACCCAATCATGGCAAGCAACCAAAAAATGATCTGCTCCTCTTGTCCTGTTCCAGAAAGGATACTTAGCGGAGATGGAGTTGACATAGTCCCTCAGAAAGATTGATAGTGGCTGCATACTACGCGAACCAGCAACATAAAGATGGGTTCTCAGCTGCCGCGAACTATATGGTAGGTAGAACAAGTGGGCCTTGTTTGGATCTTTCACGACAAACCGTGTGTTTTCCTCCATTAATTTCATGAACCATCCTTCGGAAGCGTAAATGCCATCAAGATGTGGTGTGTGGCAGAGTGGTTTGGGTCCATCCTCGTAGATGTATACCTTCAGAATTCTTTCCATCATCTTATAGCTCCTGAAAGCATTTGATTCTTTGAACTCTTTAGTTTTTTGTGACCTCTAAGAAGCGAATCGAACGAGGCAAGTGGGACTCAACTAAAGTTAAGAATCAGAAACTAGAACAGTCAAGAAGAGAATTCTTCATATAATGAATGATCAGATATAAGAAGAACTCTTCCTCACTTCTTGAAGACTGAAACATTCCGGAACAACGGAGCATAAAGATCCGGGTCGTGCAGAACAACAGGTGCACCAGCGATCTCCTTCTTTGCGTGTATAAGCTGCAGATCCGTCTGCATTAGCATGATAGGCGCTCAAAAAGTCAAGTAGGGTTCAATCTTACCACCGAAAGAACTCTTTTCTGGATCGTAAATGAAGGAAATGCAAGCTTACGCGTCTACCTCTCGCCAGTGATTTGGGACCTCTGCCACTCCTGTAGCATTCACTTCTGCCGCATTAGAGACTCCAGTCGAAGGCGTCTTAGTGGCAAAGGCCGCCTTGGTGATGTTCTTCGAAGTGGAAACAGACTGTGCACACCAACGCAAGAAACCAAACTCTCAGTCTCTGACACCATTCCTACTTCACTGTAATACAAACAAAAAGCATCAGCGTTTGTAGGATTCACCATGGCATCATCACCGACTCGAGGAGGAGGAAGTGGTGCAACGGAAGGAGGCGTCACGGTCGAAACAGGGAGAAAACCGGGGCTTGGAGTGAAACCGGGCTACGGAACGTCAACAAGAAGTCAGCGGCCTGTTGGTAATCGCTTCAACGTTTGACTTAAAGCCATGCAAGAAAGTAGTTTTGCTTTACCCACCCCATCGGGCACCAAAGGCGGCGTCTTTGGATCATATGCACCCTCGGCCGGAGAAGGAGAAGGCGCAATGAGAGACGGTGATGCGGTTGAAACAGGGACTTCGGTTGGGGGCGGAGTAGAAGCAGGATGGCGGCCGAGCGGCGGACGAGTGTGACGGTGAGTAGGAGGAGGCGACGGTAGGAGAACGAACTCCTCGGGGGAAGAATTGGAGGGAGGAGGAACCAAAAACCAGGCGGAGACGCGGAGGGTGGAGGAGAAGAACGCGTAGAGCGCCGCCGTCGACGCGACGAGGGCGACGAGAAGTAATAGACTCCTCCAACCTCCGGCGCCGGCACCGCCCCCCCATCCCAGGCAGCGGTCCACTGCCTTCTCATAGTCGATCATGGCCGTGGGCCGGAGATGTTTGGTTCGCGTCGCCCGCCGGCGCCAGAGATGGAAGGCAGACATCTGCGACATGGGCTTGCGATGGACAGTGAACCCAAAAAAAAGGCAAGAAGGCGGGGGAAAATTGGCGACAGCGAGGGCGACAAATCCGCTGTGTAGTCGTAATTTGGAGCGTAAAATGACGTTCTTATCCCTGATCATTATCACTAAACTCTAATTTAAATTTACCGGTGACGGAGTAATCGGTAATTGTAACTTTATTGGTAGTTGTTGCCTCCGTGGGTTTCATTCTATGGTATGAAATCTCAAGATATGGTTACTAATTAGAACAGTATCTCCACTTTCCAATTTATATTATTACATATATACAAGTAAAAAGCTCGAAATCTAAATACATATTTGGATTTATTCTCAATATTAGGGGAAAAAAGGAAAAATCAAACACTGGATTCATCACGGAATAAAGAGTTGAGCCATGAAAGGAGGCAAAGAACTGAATGCTCTCATCGTTTCCTTGATTCCACGGTTCTTCGAAATGTATCTTTATTCTTGTTCTCTTCACGATCTTCTGTTTCCTCCTTACGATCCTTCGAAAAAGTCAAAGAGGTCAGCGACTGTCTGTCTCTACACCCTTCCCTCCGTAGATTTTTATATTTGTCAAACCCTTTTAAGAAGGCCAGGCAGGCCTCATGTTCCCAGCCAGCGCGGTACCCCTCCTCCTCAGGTTCGCCGCCGCTGCGATCACCGGAGCGGCGGCGCTCGTCGCCCTCAGGAGCGTCCACCGGGAGGAGGCCGTCGCTGCGCTGCGCCGTGACGTTCGCGACGCCCTCCGCCGCCTCGATGAGCCTCCCGCGGTCCTGTTCACGGGGTTCAGGGCCCACGGGAAGAGCGCCCTCATCAACACCGCGTGCCGTGCCCTCGCCGCTGAGGCCGGACCGGTGCTCCTCCGGACTGAGACGGCCCCGCGGGGCCCTGGAGGCGCTACACTCGCCCGCCTAGTCGTCCGTGCTGCGGTGGCGAGGGGCAGCAGCGAGGAGGAAGAGGAGGAGGAGGAGGAGGGAGGGGGGTCGGAGGACGAGGAAGAGGAGGACGCGGTGGTGGAGATGGTGGACGCCCCGGCCCTGCCGGAGCCGGGAATTCTTACGAGGTCGGACGTGGAAGCCGCCGTCTGCGGCAGCCCTGGCAACCCTCCGCCGGACTGCGTGATCCTGGTGCTCCGCTGCGGCGGACCATCGAAGGAAAGTCGCGTGGCGGTCAAAAAGCTGGCCGACATCGCTACCGTGGTCCGTGAAAGAGGTATCTCATTGCACCCCTAAGATGAATCGTTCGGTTCCCACGTCGCGACTCCCTTCACTTTCTCTCCCGACATGGATCTCCTTCTTGGCATGTACAGCTCAGTGGCACCTCTACGCAGGCCTTCGGCCGTTGTCTAACATAACACACGGCTGTTGTTGCTCGTAGGCCTGCAATTTGTGGTCGTGCTAACCCACAAGAAGCACATAAAGAGTAAGAGGCAAGCCGAGGAACTCCGGCGGGAGATCGCCCTCCGAGCCCGAACAGACTGCGTCTACTTCATCGAAAACTACACCGCCGGCAACATGCTCCATCTCCTGCGTCCCTGGACGTCAAAGAACAACTTCGAGACGCATTTCACGGTGCTAACGATGATGAGGCAGTGCATCGAGTTCACCAAGTTGCACCGCAGCAATTTGGCGCGGAAAGCCAATGACAACGCCAACAGCAGTAGGCTACTATAGGGAACATGGAAACTTATGTTCTATCAGAAGGTTATCCCAATGCATTCGTTCTCCTGTGAGACGATGTTGCCATCCTCGTATTCTGACATACTAATGTGAAGATAAGAGTTGACTGTGGTCATTTGTGAGCGTGTATTATTACGTTAAGATATAACTTATTTAAAAATCACACAAAATAATTTATAAAACTAATAAAAATATAATACTTGGTCATTAAAAAAAGATAAATAATCATGCACGTGACGATGACCATACAAATGCGTCATACCGACCATTAACCAATAACATTAACTACTAGCACATCAATCATAGAATTAAATGTGAAGGCGGGGCCCAGGTCGCTGGCTGCCAACCTCTCGACTCCGGGAGCAGCCGCCGGTAAGCCTTCCCTACCTTCGCTTTCCTTTGTTCCCATCACCTCCCCTTCCTACTTCCCTCTACGTCGACGGCCAAACCACCCACTCTTTCTCTGCTTTCCATGCTTCCTTCCTTGGGAGTAAAGAATCAAAAGCACTCGAACCAACAACACATCGGGGAATAGCCTGCGCCCAATCCAAGCCACCCAGGTTTCAATTGATTCGATTTATTGTTCCATCATCACTTCACCACTCTCCAATCATCCCTCTGTACACACCCACTCATTTACATGCATATTGATGCCATCCGCACGTCTTGCGACGGTCTTACATCAACATATCTAGTGGTAAGATTGATAAGACAGACCATCTTTATGATCGCGACACGTGGTGGTCCACCCACCTTACCTTTCTTGTACCCTAATCTGAGCCTGCTCGATCACGATGACGGGATAATACCCTCTTCCCTTCATCGATGTACATGTCCCCGATGGATCACCAACCAATCACCATCTCCAGCTTTTCCCTTTGTCTTTATCCGAGTAGGGGGGCGCGTCTACTGAGATACCAATCCCGGCCGTCCGTAGATCCAACGGGTGATGCGCTGCTGGATGGGCAAATCCGTCACGTTAAGGAGGGAAGAGCTCCCCCCGGGAATCGGCCTGGGCGGGAGAGGAGTCGCCTTCTCTCTCTCCCTCTCCCAACCTCCTTCTTTTGCTTCCCTATCCCGTCGCCTCCCGTCCCACCTAATCCCCCATCTTTTCACGATGCATCCCGGTCTTATATAGCACGATCTTTTCCGTGAAATGGGAGAGCTCAACGACGACCCTCGCTCCGAAAAAGTGGACAAGATGGGGGGATTTTAGGTATGGAATGCGTTCTCTATGTCCGGCGATCTTGGATCATATCGAGGACGAGACTTCTCGTATAGCCGGTGCAAATTACAATGCGTCGATTTATTCGTGTGTTTATGATTTGGTTTTGGTGTTGAGTGATGGAATCCGAGGTGATCTATATGTCATCCCGTGATATCCGTGGAGAATTCCTCGATTTCTCGTTTGTGAATCTCAAATGCGTGTCGATCGTCTAATTGTTTTTCTTTTAGGGACGGATGGTTGCTGTTTCTAATGTTTTACGTTCTTCCATTTGTTCGTTCATTTGAAAGATCACATCTTGTGCCTTCCATGATCCAGTATAGCAAGCTTTCTCTGTTCTTTGTTTGTTTAGCCTGGTTACTTTCGTTCTTTATTTGATCCGTTCTACAACACGATGATTCAATTTGTTGTTTAAGAAAAATCGTTATTAGATTTGATTTCATGACCATATATATCGCGAGCTCTTCTTTCCTTCGTTGAAAGAATTTTCCGTTTCCTGTGCTAGCGAATAGTTTGCAGGGTTGCTGTTGTTGATCTGGGGTTCCGCCTGCTATTCTGACGACGTCAACATGCCGGGAATCGTAATGGATGGAGTCGGTACGAACGTGACGCCAAATGGATTGAATTCTTCAGATATCAAAGAGAACCAAACCGCATCAAGATCACCGATTTCTCCAAGCCTGAAGAGTGCGCCGAGTGAGGCTCTGGAACTTGTTCTTGACGGTTGCAAGGACCTCTCGATCGAGCAGCTGTATCATAACGTGTGTGAGATGGAGAGCTCCAGCAACGAATCACTGTCTCAACAGAGCTTTGGCTCGGACGGTGAGGAGTCAAGAATCGACTCGGAGCTGTGTCATCTGGCAGGTGGGGAAGGGGACTCCGTGAAATCAATAAACCAGAGAGAGGAAAATGGGATGGCTGCACAGAAACAAGAGAATACCTCAAAGACCCAGTCCCCTAATATCTCATCGAAGAAGTCGAGAAGGCCTCCTGGATTGCGACTGAAGTCTGATGCCTCCATGAATTCCAGCACTAGGGCCAAAAGCTCCCCTGAGAAAGACGATAAAAGTGTGGCGAAGCTTGGCTCTGCGGTGGGGCGTCTGAAGAAACAGAACAAGTACCCTAGAGGAGAGCCAAATTGGGAGAACGGAACCCAGGATCCATCGGAAGCAGGGCTGGAGAACCCAGACCTGGGGCCTTTCCTTCTTAAGCATGCGAGGGATTTGATTGCTTCCAATAATGCAAAAAGAGCTCTCAAGTATGCCCTCCGAGCAGCCAATTCATTCGAGAAATGCGCCGGCGGGATGCCCAGCTTGGACTTGGTCATGAGCCTCCACGTCGTAGCAGCGATCTACTGCAACCTAGGACAGTATGCGGAGGCTGTCCCGGTTCTTCACCGCTCGATTGAGATTCCAGCCCTTGAGGAAGGCCTAGAGCATGCACTTGCCAAGTTTTCTGGTTATATGCTGCTAGGTGACACATACGCCATGCTGGGGCACCTGGGGAGCTCCCTGCAGTGCTACACGGAAGGATTGGCGATTCAGAGTCGTGCGCTGGGTGATATGGATCCACGAGTCGGTGAAACTTGCCGCTACGTCGCCGAAGCTCATGTCCAAGCCCTCCAGTTTGATGAGGCCGAGAGGTTGTGCCGGAAGGCTCTTGACATACACAGAGAGAAGGGCGAAACCGCGTCTTTGGAAGAAGCAGCAGATAGGAGGCTCATGGCTCTCATTTGTGATGCCAAGGGAGATCATGAAGCGGCCCTGGAGCATCTAGTCTCGGTGAGCATGGCCTTGGTGGCCAATGGCCAGGAAACAGAGGTGGCTTCCGTTGACTGCAGCATCGGAGACATCTATCTCACGTTGGGACGATACGAGGAGGCGGTGTTTGCATACCGGAAGTCTCTGACCGTGTTTAAGGCCACCAAAGGGGAGAACCATCCAACAGTCGCGTCGGTCTTTGTTCGTCTTGCTGATTTATACAACAGGATCGGAAAGTTCAGGGAATCCAAGTCCCACTGCGAAAACGCTCTTCGAATCTACGGCAAGCCAATTCCCGGTGTATCCTCGGAGGAAGTCGCCGCCGGTCTGACCAATGTCTCTTCCATATTCGAGTCGATGAACGAGCATGAGCAGGCACTGAAGCTACTACAGAAGGCCTCGAAGATGTACAGTAACTCTCCTGGCCATCAAAACACCATCGCGGGCATCGAGGCACAGATGGGGGTGCTACACTACATCAGAGGCGACTACGACGAGTCCTATATTTCCTTCAAGAATGCCATCACCAAGCTGCGGGCATGCGGGGAGAAGAAGTCGGCTTTCTTTGGAGTTGCGTTGAACCAGATGGGCCTTGTTTGCGTTCAGAGGTTCGCAATCATCGAGGCCGCGGAGCTGTTCGAGGAAGCCAGGAGCATTCTCGAACAAGAGTATGGACCATTTCATCCGGACACATTAGGTGTGTACAGCAATCTCGCCGGAACTTACGATGCTATGGGAAGGTATGCACTCAGAAACGGCTATGTATGTGCCTTCTCGTCTATTTTGCAATCTCATGCTTACTCCCTGGTTCCAGGTTGGACGAAGCCATTGAGATCCTGGAGTATGTTGTCGGGATAAGGGAGGAAAATTTGGGAACGGCCAACCCAGAGGTAGATGATGAGAAGAGGAGGTTGGCCGAGTTGCTGAAGGAGGCTGGCAGAGTGAGGAACAGGAAACCCAGGTCTCTGGAAACTCTGCTCGACAAGAATCCGCATGCTATGAACAAAAACACTGTTACTGCAGTGGTATGAGAAGGGTATCGAGGCGTGAAGCACTCATATTATTATTATTATGTCGAATGCTTTGTTGTCGTTCCTTATGCTGCGATTCCAGGGACGAGGGAGGGTTAATAATATTCAACTTTGGCTGTACACGGGTTCTCTTTCAGTGTATGAAGTTGAACAAGTGATTGCATGCTACGAACACCAGTGATGGAAGGCAATGCTAAGCATACAAAGAAAATGTCATGTCAACTGCAGTTCTTCTGAGAAGTGCAAAATGTTGGGAATGAGGTTAGCGAGATATGTCAACTGTAATTTTTTTTATCGAGTCGATAAAAAAATGATAAAATATAAAATAAATACATATGATTTAACATGATTCGAATTACGATATAAATATCGAAAAAAATAAAGAATCTCTATAAAAAGTTTAATCGTACAGAGATAGAAGAGTCATAATATGATAATGATCTTCCTAGGAGAAAACTTACCGAAATCTAACAAAAACAGAAAATTATAGAATTACTCCGATTGACCAAAGTTGACCAGGGTTGACCAATCAACTTCACTTCTTCCTCCTCACCACGGCTGCTGCAATGAGCGCAGTAATTGGCCGGTGACGGAGATAGGAGACCGAACGTCGGAGACAAGGACGAGAAGCCTTGGTCAATTTGGTCGCCCACGATATTGCCTGCGGCCAGCGTCGCCGCCCGCGTGCCTGCTGCCCTCGCGCACCACCACACGCGGGTCGTGTTTCACGGCTGTCGCCCACGCTGTTGATCGCAGCCAGCGTCCAAGTCTTCATTGCTGCCTCCCTTCCCCGTGGGCCCTCACCACCTGCTGTAGTCGCGGTGGCCGGGATTACCGCAGAAGCTGATCAGAGTGCCATGGCAACCTTGCTCATGTGCATATCTAATGAAGCACTTCAAGAGGCTGCCGTAGAACACATAGAAGCAAAGGCCAAGATGGGAGGGGCGTGGAAGACACAGTGAAGGTTTGAGAAAAAAGAGGGAAGAGGTGAGGGTGAGGGAGGAGGAAGAAGAGAGAAAGAGGAAAGAGCCAAAATTCGGCCAAACCTCTTCTCCAGCGACAAGTCCGGTCGCCGATCGCGATCGCCGGTCGGTTACTATGCTCGTTGTAGCAACTGCGGAAGCGAAAATTGACTGGTCAACCCTGATAGATTCTGGTCAAATTTGGTCAACAGAGGTAATTTTATAAGCCTTTTGCTATATTTGGATAAGTATTTGGGTTTTCATTGAGGGAGACCATCATCTGTGTTGTGCCTCCCCTGTATAGCCTTTTATCTCGTGATGACTGTATCGTAATCCGAACCATGCTATCGCTTGCATTTATTGCATGTTTTTCTGTCTATTCAATGTTTTCGCGGACTCATCTTTATCTCGTGATCCTGCAACTTACTAATCGCTTTCCAACCAAAACAAATCCCAACGTAAACCTCACCAACGGAGGCCATTGGCTGCAAACGTCGTCGTCGACAACGAGAACCTCACCAACGTAAACCTCACCTATCTCTGCACCGCCGGCGTCGACAACGTCGTCGACTGGCTCAAGTCCGCCATCCTCACCAACGTTGACCCCAGCCAGGTCCGCTACCTGGGTGTTGGGAACGAGGTCGTCCGCAAGGACCCTTTGTACGTCTCCAACTTCGTGCCCGCCATGCGCAACCTTCACAAGGCCTTGCAGAATCCGGGCCTCGAGAAACAGATCAAGCTCTAGGCCCCTCAGGCCGCCTCGTCCATTCTCGGCGTCACCTTCCCTCCCTCTTCCGGCAAGTTCGAGATGCGCCTGCTCCCCGTCATGAAGCAGTTGCTGCAGTTCTTGTCGGAGACCGAGTCGCCGCTCATGGTGAACACGAACCCATTCGACACCTACGTCGACAACCCTCTCGAGGTGGCACTCAACTACGTGCTTTTCGGCGTGAACAAGGCGTTGTTCCATGACGACTGCAAGGCGTACTCCAACCTGTTCGACGCCACCGTGGATGCGCTGGTGGCGGCAATGCAGAAGCAGGGGTTTCCCAAGATACCGGTGATGGTGACGGCCACGGGATGGCCGACCAAGGGGAAAACCGCTGCCACGCCGGAAAAGGCAGCGGCTTACGCCCAAGGAATCATCGACAAGGTGGTGAAGGGGGTCGGCACGCCGATGAGGCCACGTGACACGGTGGAGGTGTTCTCGTCCAATCTGTTCGACCAGAACAAGAAGGAGGGCAAAGAGTACGAGAAGCATTTCGGCATCTTCAATGTCGATGGAAACCGCATCCTCAAGATCAGCTTCGTGCCGTAGAATGAGATGGGTTTGGCGTCTCGATGGTATGGTTCCGCCGCAGGGGTGTCTCGGTCGCAGGGGATCTCATCTCCTACATCTCTCCTCATTTAGTTTTGGTTCTCAGTTGGTCGTTCTGAGTTCCCGCCACTGTTGGTGACGCCTCTCTCACCTGGGATGGGAGCAGCTCTGTTAAGGGGAGCTACAACAACTAGCAGTGCAACTCATGGAATGACATGACAGTAAAAAATCACTTTGGTTTTAATGAAAATAATAAAAGATAAAAATAATTATTAAAAAAAAATTATTAAAGAAGTGAAATAGCTTCGACGGATCAACGAAAACTATTACGATGAGAAAAATGAGGATTAGCCATGGAGCCTCTTTGGTCGTTGGTCGAAGGCAAAGCCTTTTTTAGCGGCGTTGGTCGCTGGTCGAATGCGAGTGAAACTTTGCTTTTCTCATTGCTCTAATACCGAAAATAATAAAAAATAAAAATAATTATTAAAAAAAACTTTATTAAAGAAGTGAAACAGTTTAAATATATTAATTTATCCTTCTCCTATTTTCCTCTTGAGATTTTCTGAAAAATCTTATCTCTATCAGGTTTGTCTTCTTCCTTATGACTATCCTCGCTGGGATTTAACTCACTCATCAAGTAAATTGCATCGAACCATCCCAAAATCCATCTTATAGAATTATAAATCATTTATAATATATAATCCTGGGGGAATGTATATTATAAAAAGAATCATCAAACTGACCACCAAGCCATCTACTCTTTAATTTATGTAACTCTCAAATCATCATGTCAGCCCAATCTCCAAAAGAAATACCATGGAATAATAACAAATAACATCATCATTCATGTACCATTATTATACACATACTTCATCGATGATATTTGGACGTTCGAGATACGCTTTCCAACAGTAAATAGATGTATTTTACTTATCAAGATGACTCATAATGAGAAATCATGTTGCACTGTCGATAGTTAATGAAGTGATATTTCACCCGATCATGATCATAAAATTTGTCTCCGACAAAGATATTTATATACGTCTCATGTAACTATATATATATATCGGTCTTTCCATGAGAAATCAAAGTGGTGGGCGGCACGCGTTCAGACTATTGTATCGGTCTTTCCATCCGCATGCTCATATATATATATATATATAAATTCAATTCACTATGTATTTTACGTCCAAATGAAGCAGTAGTCTACATCATGAATACAACACAGTATAAGTATGAATTAAGAAAGCGGCCACCGTTCATATGTATGTCTGATAAGAATTAAACGACATCGTCTGACGTGATCGTCAACTCTCTCAAATAAAATATCGATAGACAAAGACTACATCGTGCGTAGTCTTTGGCACTTGATAGTGTGGGGGTTTGACCTGATCCGTTTATTATGTTTTGTGGGTGGATCCCAACCAGGCACAGCCAACAACTTCACCTTCAACATTCCTTTTCAGGTACATTAATTATTATCCGAGTTAGACATTAATTCGAAGTTAATATTTTATTTTTTATTTTTTATTTTCATCACGAAAAAGTCAATGGCTAATTTGTCATCACCTGCTTCGCTTCCGAGCGATCCCAAAACCTGTAAAACTACGTCGAATATATTTAGTTCACTTGGCTACCTATATATGCACGCACATACACATTATTCATTTATTTTACATTCCTCTTCTAGTTGTTTGTACAACTGTCGGAAGTCAATGCGACGAATTCACTCAACGATCTATTCTTGGTCATTCGAAACCAAAAGGGAGCGAACTAAGAGCAGATCGTTCGTCAGTCAACCCTATCATTTGTTTCACGTAATCATCACCAATGCAAGATTCATAAGACGACAAATAGTGCAAATCACTAATTTTTCTTTTAGGTAGATATACTGATTTCGGCAGAATTATAATGAAACAAGCTTACCTCCTAAGAAGATTGACAAGAAGAAATGTTTTTATTTATTATTATTTTGTTAACTTCTTTCTCTCGATCTTCTCGAAGATGCAATCGAAGTCAAAACGCAATCGAGCAGTTGGCTTATGAGCAAGTCGAATTTTGACCGCAGCAAGTTTAGGGCCAAGTCAAAAGCGCAACAGTCAACACGGCTTGAGTGCAGGCAGGCTCATTGGCCTACGTGGCTATTATCTATTTGATGCATAACGGTGTCCCGTGTTTTCTGTAAAGAGGGCGGTTTCTTTCCCTTTGCTATCCGGCTTTCGCTTTTCTGAAGGAAAGCCACCGGATAGTTCTTCGACTTGGCTTCCACCTCCACAACTCCGCGGTTTGGTCCCTCGTTTCGTGGTGCTTCTGTCTGCTCTTCCTCCGATCTGCTTTGTATTATCCTCTCTCTCTCGACATACAGCCAACTTCCCCTTTCCCCTCTTCTCTTCCCTATCTTTGTCCTCCGAAGCAATCCCCTCTTTCCTTCTTCGGCCTCCCGCTTCCTCCGTCTTTTCGGGAAACCACGTGACCTTCGGTCGAGTTTGTTGTTACCGTTTTCTCCTCGCCATCTCGAGACAGTTCATGGATACTGATCCAATCTCCAAAAGAAGCTCTATGGAGCGCGGAGGCTGTTCGATCACGAAGGGGTAGCGAAACTCCGGCTCGAAAGACTGATTCAGCATCTGGTTGTGCTGCTTCTTCGCTAGGAATATTGATAGTAAAGATTCGATCTTTGTTTGATGGGATGGAGGAGATTTTGCGTTGCGCCACGTGAAGAAGTCTCGATCTTGTGAAGATCTTATTTGGTCCGATATCTTTTGGTGAATTTATATGTTATAAGAGTTCAGCATATTTAAAGTCCTATTTTATTTGGTTTCTTTTCTTTTGCCAGTTAAATATGGTATTTTTTGAAAATTATTCTCCCATGTAATTTGGTTAATGGTTTCTTGTCTTGCTATAAGTTTGCACGATGAAGAAAATGGTCACCTCTTGACTTGGGTTAATCCATTTGAGATGTGTAGCTGCTATTTTCTTCTCTTGTTAAAATTGGATATCAACCTTAGTAAGGTAGTCAGGTTGTTCCCAAAGGGATTCATCTGGTTAGGTTTACGAGAGATATTAACTTGGGAAAATTACAAGCAAGAACATTAAAAGCTGGATTTATTTTTGCTTATATTTAAGGATGAAGACTCTGCTAGTATTACTGGATAGCATCAACCAGCATAATAATAGCTAGTCACTCTTTGCATCATGAGGCGGATAGGGGTGTAGACATGACATCTGATTTTTGGAACGACAAAGAGAGAAAGGAGTCTGTGTTTCTAGGAGTTACTGTTATTTGTTATACTATTAAATCTGGCTAACATGCTTGATATTGTTTTGTTGCCTGCTGGTGTCATACCTGCATTGGAAAATGAAAATTTCTTTCAAAAGGCTTGCTCTGCTTAAGTTCCTTTTCTCCCTTCTATCAGAAATCTTATTTTGAGTGGATTTTGAAATTATTATTATTATTTAAATATATCAACACCAATTGCTTGTGCAGTTTCCTTTTAGGTCAGCGTTTTATTTTAAGCAATTATCCAATTGTAAGTGAAGGTATCAGTGCAAAAGGGAAAAGCTTGGACATATACTATTCTTTTTCCGATATTCACACATTTGTTAATTGGCGTGTGACATATTCAATTTCTTGATATGATGTTCCTAATTTCACTCTGATTTTTGAATTTAAAATTTGATTAATCTGGGCTGCTCTACTTTTTGAGGAATCAAGTTGCCATACTTTTTTATTGTGCTTCGTAACGAGAAATTCAATTAAATGGAGATTTATTTATTTATTATTTGAGGTCGTTCTGTTTCTTCTCAGCTTTAGTTATTTATTTCTTGTAAGAAACTATCATAAATAATGGCTGGATGATGTGCATGCTACTGAATTATGTTTACTTATCTTAAGGTACTTTGTCATCCTTCAGAATCAATGTTCCAAGTATTGCTTGGTGTCTAATGGATTACAAATAAGCCTATTTGATATTACTTGATCATGAAGGGGCTTATCATTTATTAATTTCTTTTATAGATTGATATCAGGTTCTTATTGGATGGGGAGTGATGTTACTCAAACTGTGAAAAAGCTACAAGATCATTGTGATGTCAAGGTATACAATTTCACCTTGTTGTAAACCTGGATATTAAGCTCCCTTAAACTATTAAGTAGCAGTCTTGTCCTCTGAATGCTCGGCAATTCCCTGGATTAACTTTATTGAGCGTACATGCTGTGTGAACTTTAACATTGGAATATGTTAGTGTTACCTTTGACAAGCACTTAATTTGAATTATCAGAATCATTTCTATAAGCTGATGTGATGACATTTTGTCGTATTCAATATGCATTGTATTGCAGATATATTGGAGTCTCTGTTGGAGTGGTATAATAAAAATATAATGAAATGGTAGATTAGGTAATTATTTGCCACTTGTGACAGTTTATGGCTCTCAACAAGACTTAAGCAATCCTAATCTTATTGAAATTTTGTCAAGGAAATTTGCAGTCGATAGGATGTTGTCTGCTCTCATGCTGTTTTCTCTACTTAGAGAACCCAGAATATCTGAAATACTAAATCCTGTAATTTGTACTTTTTTGTATTCATATATTAGTCTTCTATTTTTATCCAGGCCAACAGTTCAATATGTTTGGAGCTTACGAAGATATTGAACAGGATCAGTCTGATTCTACCTGCAATAGAATCATCTCGACCAGGAAGTACTTGTGGGATAGCGGAGCTATGCTCTTTAAACAATTCAATTGACAAAGCAAAGCTACTTCTTCAGCACTGTGCTGAATCCAGCAAGCTTTATTTGGTACTTCTAGAGTTTTGCTGATTTTCTATGGGGAACTTACTTCTTACAAACTTTGGATTATGGTTCTAAGACTAGTTATCTCAAATTTTCTTTTAGAACCCACACAGGAAACTTTTGAAGTATGTTATGCACTTTACAACTTGAAACTAATTCCTCGGTATAATTAGTGATATAAGCATAAACATAATGCCATGCTTCATCCTATCGACTTGAGACTCATGAAGCATGAATCGTTACAGAGAATATGAACAGGGTTGAATTTTGATATATCTTATCTGTGTCATTGTATTTCCATGACAAAAAATTGGTTTCTGTTTTGTTGGTAGAAAATACATGGTTTTAACCGGATTCCGATGTAATAACTACCAGTTGCATGAAATCCCAAATGTGTTCTATGAGAACAAGTTTGTATTTGTGACAAAATCCTTGAGTTGTTTGTAAGTCTAAATTAGCATTTTATTTATAAGAAGAACGAAGATAAAAATACATCATGAAAACTAGAGACAAGGATATAATACGAGTAATTTCATCTGTATGCTCCTTATGGTGTAGAGCAGTGTGCATATTTATCTAGCTTCTTTGCCGGTTGCAGTGTTAGGGATAAATCAAGGTTGATGTAGTTGCTTGGCATGTAGAACATCATGCTAGAATCGGAAGAAGTTGCAAATTTTGTTTCATACTATGTTAATTAAAGGCAGTAGGTTCCATGAACAGTAGTTTATTTATTTGTTTATATTAAGCTTTTGAGATTCGGTTATGCTGTTTAAATATTCTTGTTCTACTTTAATTCTTCTTTTTGGTTCTAATTTTGGTGCCTTGTACATTCTTAATATTTTCTTGTACCTCGTTCACGAAGCTTGGACATAGCAAACTTTCCACCATTTAAGGGGAAAAAATACAATTTCTATAGTACGCCATCAATATTATAAATTATAAAGTTGAGGTCTTTTATTATTAATTGATCAGCATTTAAGAGGTTATTTTCCCAAGTGTCCAAAACAAGTATCCCAAAATTGTGTAAAATTTCCATTTATATATCATAATCGAGTACCCACTTTGTAGATGGTGCACCTTCAGTTTGCCTACTTGAAAGACCAAAAGTGATGCCGAGCCCACGTAAGTTTGGTTCCATCTAACCTGTTACTGTTTTGTCATCCATTGTTCTAGGTGAAAGATAACTATGCCATCACAGTATACTGATGGTTTGTGGGAAAAAAGTTAACTGACACTTGAATTAGAAAAGGATCTTACTTTACCTAATTTGTACATTTCTCCATTCTTAGTACTCATTTTCCCATAGAAGTGCCTGCATATAACTAGGGCTTATCTTTTTTTTACCAAGGACTAACGAGTAACGACAGTGGGGAAAGATGACTTGTTGGATGGAACCACATTCAGGTAGATTGAGTGTCACTTTTGGTCTTTTAAGTGGGTAAACTAAAATTCAACCTCTCTCAGGTGGGTAATCCATAAGTTTTCCTATCTTGAGAAAAGGATACTTGAATAAACAATTGTATCTGAGGTCTACTCATTAGTGGCTATGTCGATGTTGACAAAAACATCATTTTGGAAGGATCCTTGTACCATAGAATTGCAGCTACTAAAGTAGTTGACTCGATCAAGTTAATCAAGTGGTATGATATCACTGTTCCAATTTTGTCCAATTTCTGATAAATAAGTTATTATCAAGCAGAATGCAGCCATCTGACTTGGAATATGTCTATTTGGTCATGTGAATAAATAGTGGTTCATCTATGCCACTATTTTTTTACTTTTGGCAGCAGAATTAGAATAATTTCTCTTTTAATTTTATAGAAATGACTGATTTTGTCTTCAACAAAAATACTGTATCATTTAGGAACCTTTTTTTTTTTTCAATTTTATTGATAAAACACATGTAGGAGTAATCATATTATTTAACATGGCTTGAGAAATTTTGACTTGGAAATGAGAATTTAAGATATTTTAACTTGTTGAATTTGCCTAACGAAAATAGGTGTCTTTATTTTTTGTTATCTAAGATGTGTATAACCTTACCAAAGGCAACAAACCACATATTAGCCCAAGATGCTGATCTCATATGAGATGGAAAAGAAGCCTTGAACCGAGATGCACCTAATTTCACAAACACTTGAAGGGAGAAGAGGAATCAATGAACATATAGCTGAACACAACCAGTTGGGAGCAATACTATCAGGGTTGTACATAAAAGAAACAAAATTTCCCTTCTTTTTCCCCAAAAGAAAGTAAACTATATTACTTCAAAAGATGGTTACAACCCGTACCAATTCTATCAAAATCCAGCTGTGAGCCAAAACCATCCAGCCAATGACCGTCCTAGATTTTCCCTTTTGTTTGAGGCTGTTTATGCCACTGATCTACAAGTAGATGTAGATTTATGTGATGATAGATATTCTAACTAGAACTTATTATTGGTGCTATTCTTAGCTTTATATTGACATTCATTTTATTATTCTATAGCTCTATTAACTGTAATTTTACACTCATATTTGTGCCTCATAACTTTTCCATTAGTTTAATTTGTCCGTCCATTAAAAAAAAGAGCTACTTGCTTCCTTGTTTTTTAATTTCTGTAAATTTGCAGGCAATAACAGGACAAGCAACTTTATCCAGATGTGAAAGGATCAAGGTCTCATTAATTAATAGTTTATGTCAAATTCAAGATATGGTCCCGCCACTTTTAGCGTGTAAGGTTCGTCAGGCTTGCAGTTTAACTCCTTAGGCCTTTCATTTTATTACAATGAAATTATGCTGGTGGTCTATTTTATATTGAACTATTTTGAATAAACATTGCCATGTCGAGCAAGAGTTTGTCCTGGAGTTTTCATAAGATTATAGGGTTGACTGCTAAGAAGTTTTAAAAATTTGAAGTCCTTAGTCAAAGTCATGACACATCTGCAAGCCCTGACATGACCAGACCTATCTATTTTTATCTTTTCCTAGTAGACGTTTTTAAACTATTATATAGAGATTAAGAATTCTTCCTTTTAACAATCACCATTTTGGGGTTTCTAAGCTTTGTTCTGCAGAATAGTAACCTAAGATAAGAATGAATGAGTCGACTCATCATCTTTGTGAACCATGGGTTCAACAACAGTACAAAATGTGCATTTGAAGGAAGTGCAGGTTCTGTGCATGCTACTTTATAACAACTTTTGCTAACAGGATACTGTTTTCTAGGGTGAGAAGGACCTCATACATAAACAAGGTCTGAAACCTGCATTACTTATTATGCTTTGTTGTGCCTTCTAGACTATCTAACACTGTGTTATATTTGTTGAGTCTTAAAACATTTGCTTTTGAATACTTACCGAAGCTTAATCATGTACATTTGGACTGTTGAGGTAATTAATCTGCTTCTTGTACAAAGTAGACTGGTGTTTGTTGATTTTCACCATCTCTTATAATAATGATTTGTAGATTAAAACTGGTTAACATCTTTGCATTATTTGATATCAAATAAAATAATCATTTTTTATTTGACTGCACTAGGTGTGTTTTCTAAACGAGACTTAGATTTTGATTCTGGAATCTCATTTGTCTTACTTTGAGTGTCAGTATTTGTAGTATTAAGAATAATTCTGATTGAAATGTCTTACACCCAAATCTAAAAAGGAATTGCAAAAGCTAATAGTTTGAGGATTAGAAAATGTGAATTATTATTTTGAGTGGCTATGAGAGTCTCTGATTTCATGTGGTAGCATCCAACATGCTAGAAGATATAGTAGTTTTGTGTCCTTTCCACCAGTACATGGTTTCAAGAAACCATCGGATGTGATGCTTTGCCTTTGCCATTCTTCTTAAGATAGGCAAATCAGCCATAAAAATATATATTTAATGTTTTCCATCTCACTATGTATTGTAAAACTAAGATCTGGTGTTTTACTGATCTAAACTGAAGTTAAATTTTTGTATAAGGTGTTTGATCAGTAGAAACAGATGCCAAGGATGAAACTGAGCTGAGGAGGAACGGGATTAGACAATACAAGTAGAAATTCTAGTCAAAACTTTCATAAAAGATTGCTTGATTTGGAGAACGACAAATTATCATAGTGCATAGAAATAAATCATGGTTCTCAAATGATGTGAACTCATCTAAAGGGTCTTCTGGATAAGCAAATTCTTTTTGGTTATTGGCTTAACTATCTTTCACTAAGAAGCATATTCCTTTTCACTTATTATTCTAATTTTAAATGCAGAAAACTGATACTTCAGAGGAAGGATGCTAAATATTATGTAGGAAGGTGCTTTTTATTAATCAAAGTAGATAAGTCTTGGTGCTCGGCGCTTGTTTATTACTAGGAACTATTTTCTCTTTTGTGGCTACTTGACCATTTGTTACTGAGAAAGTCCTTTGTTTTAAGATGGTATGGTCGTTTGAACTTATTTTCCTAGTTAACAAGTTGAGGGCTTGAGGTTTAAGGATTATAAATCTCTAATCATGTAGTCGTTGGTGGTGCGGTTATACAAATATGATAGTGTACTGGGTTCTAAAATCAGACTCATATAATAACATTGCAGTGAAAAATGGAAGTGACTGAATTTCTAACATCTGCGTTGGTTAACCAGACCGTTTAGTTTAGAGAAGGATAAGATGGCAGTAGACCATTTGACATAGCATTATGTATCTTCAGCACATTGAATTGTATTCCGTTACTTCTTTGACTCAGTATCAACCTTACACGGTATATTAGTATCTTGCAGGCTATATGTTGCTCAGAACTTTGTCTTTTTATGACTTCTGGGAAGAATTTTCTTCTTCATTTGCTTATAACCATGATTAGCATCAGTTCGGCTAGTTTTGAAAAATCTGTGAGTGTGCTGATAGCTTTATATCACCAATATAGATTGCTGAAGTTCTAGACTACCTCAGAGTCACAAAGTTTAAAGTGGATTCTCCAGAAGAGGAGGCTGGCAGAGCTTTGCTAGATCTGCTTCGTCGGACGGACTCCAGCGAAGATGTAGAGTTTAAGGCTTTTCATATTGCTGCTTCAAGGTTAAAGCTGACATCTTCTAAGGCCATTTTAATAGAGAGAAGATCCTTGAATAAACTACTAGATAAATTGAATGGATCTGATAAAAAAAAGGAGAAGATCCTGTATTATTTTATGTACCTCCTGAAGAAGCATGGTAAGAATGTCAGGCAGGATGGTAGTGAGTTTAAGGAGAATGGCAAAGCAGGTAGTGAGAGTATTATAATAGATACAAACCGTGCCAGAAGTACTAGTCGTTCTTCAAACAATGATGAGCCAAGTATTCGAGGTGAGGCTCCAATTGATATACGTCAAGCTGCTGTACCTCCTGAGGAATTTTGTTGTCCGATTTCATCCAGATTGATGTATGATCCTGTAGTTATAGCCTCTGGACAAACATATGAAAGAAAGTACATAGAAAAATGGTTTGATGAGGGACATGATACATGTCCAAGGACTCGAACAAAGCTGGTAAACCTTGCTGTGGTTCCAAATTCTTGCATGAAGGATCTTATTGCCAACTGGTGCAGGAGACGTGGCATCAGTGTTCCGGAACCATGCTCTGATTGCAGTCCTGCAGATTTTTGCGGCTGGGAACCTTCACATAGTTACTCCATATCAAGTTTGAAAAATGTTTCTGCAGCTCTTTTAGATGGAAGTGTCAGGCATTATTTTCTTCAAAATGATCACAGCAATGTATCAGTTCTCTCATCTGATGCTAGCTACTGTTCAGATTCATCCCAAATTAGTGGCATCAAGAGCACACAGGATAACCAGACTCATTTGTTTTCGTGGAGTGATGATTATCAACAGCATCAGTCATTCTCCAATTTCAATCATGAAATGTTTCTGAGATTCTTTTATAGACTCTTGGAACTTCCAATTGATGTCCAAGACAAAGCAGTAAAAAAAGTGAAATTCCTTCTGGAAAGCGACGAGGAGATTTGTTGTGCTATGCTCGCTAATGGTTTTGCAGAAGCACTAATTAGCTTTCTGAAGAATGCACGTGAAGAGGCCAATGTACGAGCAATTAGAGCTGGAAATCAGCTATTTCTTGCTTTCCTGAATGAGAACTGGTGATTTCCTTTCTGTTGTACTCATTCTCATTTATCTTAAAAGTTTGTCTCCTGTTTTTGTTGTCACGGTTCCATATTCTACATTTTGTCCTGTTTTGTTTTAATATACAGTATTACTGAAGTCATTTTCATGCTTGCCCAGGGTTAAAATCTCGTCCTTGACTGAGGATGCATTGCAGTTATTGGTATCTTTTCTTGATTCTGATATCAGGATGGAAGTTTTAATGCTGATGCAGAAACTGGCTCAGAATCCAAGCTGTAGATCCAGCATTATGGCACCTGGTGTTGTGGCTCCAATTATAAAATCTTTAGATTCAGAAGACACCGGGTTACTTGAACTATCTCTGAAAATTCTTCTTGATTTATCAGCTGATGAGGATGTAAAATCTTCTATTCTATCCTCTGGATGCATAACAACTCTCGCTTCATTTCTGACGGATGGAAGACTAGCACATCTTTGCTTAAAGATCATCCAGAACATAAGTCACCATGAAGAGGGTGCAACTACGGTAGTCAAAGCCAAAGCCTGTCTTGCTGCGATTGTAGAACTGCTTGATACTGGCAGCAAAGAAGAACAAGAGCATGCAGTGGATATCCTCTATGCCATATGTTCTAAGAGTTACGAAAATTGTCTGCTGGTCATGGACGAGGGGGTGATTCCAGCTCTTGTTGATATTAATGTTAATGGGAATGTCAAGGGCCAGGAGATTGCTACAAGGCTGCTCCATCTTCTGAGAGACGTCAGGCGTAGCGATCGTTTTGTCAATTCATATATCAAGCCTGAATCCATACCTGAACCAACAGCGAACGTTGTCCAACATTCTGCGGACAGAGTGCCGCTTTCTAGATCTCTTGGTGTACTTGGGAAGAAACTAAGATTCTTCTCAAAATCAGGGTCCTCGACTCCTTGTTAATAAGCTCTTGGCAGGACTGTTCTTATACATATAGTCATTTAGCTTAAGTAGTGAATAAATTTTCTGTAAAGCTGATGCAATTTTGGAGGAACATTTGGGTGGGATGCTCTTCTCGTCCACATTTCTCTTTGTTCATTCTTGAATGTATAGACAAATAGATGTGGTGTTTGGAAATATGTCTCTTTTCGTTCTGTTGGTACCAGTTTTGTCAATCTTGCCTTTTGACTTGACAAAGAACTCATCCCGTATCGAAGAGACGAATGATTCATCTTCATCAGAACCGGATTTCCAAGGCATCCACCCATCTTATCTCTTGCCTGTTCTCTTTGCTCCACTCTAGTGACTTCATTGAAGCTATTTTGAGCAAGAATAGCATGCATGAGAAAATGGCTGTTTCCAGTAAATCTGTGTGGAGATTGTCCAAGAACAACTCAATCTGTCGTCTTCTTCCACTTTCCCTTCAAGAGTCTTATCAAGTCAGTACAAAACATAAGCTTGTTTCTTCATACCCTTCTTCCCCCCTAGCAAAGTCTCAGTCACCACCACTCCATTCTTTTCCTCCGATTTCCTCTCTTGCACATGCTCGACTCTCTCGTTCAGTCCTTGGACACTGCATCTATCTAGTTCATCGCAGCTGTCACCTTCCTCGACTGGGGAAAACCCCACCACAAATCATTTCATGCCAACTCATGTGATCGATCCAACCTCCTTCGGTAACCATCTTCTTCGCTTCAGCAGAAAACTCCATGTTCTTTTCATGCACTTGCTTTCCAGTTGTGAGAGACTTCCAGAAAAGAAGGTGTCGGATAACACCCTCTCAGATGAGGTTTCGATGTCGACCGCTTACTTTACTCCACCCATCAACAACGATGCATTTGTTTCCTCGAGAGAGAGAGAGAGAGAGAGCGATTAATCACACTCATGCTACTACACGAAATGGATCCAGAAAGAGCATTCTTGTCTGTAAGGAATCAATGGAGCTAAGTGCTCGTCTCAGAGCATTTGTGATAACCGAAAGTTTCCCCTGCATCATACTGTTAAGCTGGTCGTATGCTTCTGTCATACTCACGGAGAGGATGCTATGAACAGATCCTTTAATCTTTCAGTCGCTCTCCACGTTTCAGAGAGATCAACTCGTGAAAAGCTGCGTGATGTGGTTATCTCTCAGTATCAGCAGGATGGCCTCCATGTCCGCAAAGGTGCGGGGACAAAGTCACATGGAAAGTGGGTAGACGAGGACTTCGCCACAACCCGATGATCTCTGGCCTGCTTTACCATTCTTATCTCCTGGAAAAAAGGGGGCCAAGTTCAATCGACTGGCGCCACATATCTCCTCTTGTCCATCATTCATTCTCATGCTAATTCAACTGCCAGCCAAAAGGATTCATGAGAAGAAGAGATGGTTGCGCACTCAACCCTATTCTGAGAGGATGAAACCCCGCTTTCTCTACTACTAAATCCTGTGTCATAGTACGTCAGACGGCACGAATGATTTCAGTGCCAACGGAACCTCCTCGGAGCTCATCATGTCATTAGTTGTCATCCGAACGATCACAGTTTAGTTGATATTTCTGATACTTCCTTCTTTTCGTGTCACTCGATGAATCTAATAATCGTTTCTGTTATCTTTCTCTCGTTTGCGTCTTTCATGGCGTCAAAGCAGTGAATCAGACTAAGCAAGACAGGATTACACGTCGAGTTTAGTTCTATCTACTCTCTCTCTCTCTCTCTCTCTCTGAGCAGCTGTGTTTGGTTCATCTCATACGGCCTCACACCAACTAGCTGGAAAGAGGCTGTGGATCGAATCAGAGAAGAAAGAGGGGCAAGTTGAGCGCAGTATGGAGGAAACGAGTGCTATGTGGCTCGATCCAACACCTCATAAACTAGTGTAGCTCAACCCTCCTAGAGAGTGAAATATCTGTGTTTGTGCTGGGATCTTCCTGGACACGAAAACCAATCATGCTCCATGGTACACTCCATTACAGATTAGGCAACAGTATGGTTACTGATGCGTCGCTGACTCCGTGGTCCTTGATGATCTAACCTAATCTGGCTTTTTTCATCACTGCTCCCATCGATTTTGGATCCAACAGTGTCTGGGATCTCATGCTGGATTCTTCGATTAATCGTTTCCATGGGATTTACCCTTTAATTTCCAACATCTCTGAAGGTTTCCAATGCTGGCGTGGTTGGAAACTTCACATCACAGTTAGAATCATAGCAAAATAAGCGCTCATGGTTAGTAGTGTCACTCACAGCAAAGAACACGCCAGCCTTGGGTGTCACTCAAATCTTCCTTGTCTCCTGCACCTACTTTGTGTCATTCCTGATTGATCATCTCTCGGATGCCATGAGTGCACTGCATCTGTTCCTTTGATAAGTTTGAATTGTAGTGATGAAAAGTACTTATGAAATGACTGAATACAATGTCTTATTTATACATGTGGGAAGGGAGGATTTTCCTTAACTATCTTACGAGATTTTCTTATGCAGTTGAGGAAATATTTATCTGCTATCATGCTCCTATAAGATTGAGCTCCTGTCAAGGATGTCAATCTTGAACCGACGTAATGAAAATAATTTATAGGCGAGAGGCTTCGTGAATGAGTTTGCTAGTTGATTAGTCATATATACGTGAGAAACATGTAGTTGATGTCTAATAACTTGATCTCGCACGAAGTGGAAGTCAATGACAATATGTTATATGCGTGAATGAAAAATCGAATTGACACATAGGTAAGTAGCTTCAATATCGTCACAATATATTGTAGGAGGTACGATAGAGTTGACGTTGAGTTCCTTGAGTAGATTTGTGACCCAATTGATCTTAGCAACAGCAGTGGTGATGGTACGATATTCAGCTTCAATTGTAGTGGCGATGGTAGCAGTGCCGGATGATTTTCATATGGTGAATTCGACTGATGGTGGCCACTTCATTCACGAAGTCCTGGCTATTGCCTTTGATCTTCTCCAACACTTTGGTAGTCACCAGAAGTCCATGTGGGAGCTTCCCCTTCACCTAGACTAGGCAACTTTCACTGTGGGTTCTTATCGTCTGGACGAGGCGATGTCTACTGCCACCTCCTCCCTCATTACTCTTCCTGCAGCAGAGGAGCTCTACAGTGACGCTCTCATTGGTCGCTTTCATGCAGCCTTTAAGGAAAAAAGTGGCAAGCGCGACCTGCACACAACCAACTGATCTCTTATTTGACTATGATTTACTAGGCTACATCGATATGTCTGATACCATGATAAGTTGAATTGTAGTGATGAAAAGTACTGACGAAATGGTTGAGTACAATGTCTTATTTATACATATGCGAAAGGAGAATTTTTCTTAATTATCCTATGAGATTTACTCATACAATTGAGGAAATCTTTATCTGCTATCATTCCTTTCTGCTTATTATAGCCGAAGAAGATGATGGATGGCCAGGGGAGATGTACAGAGGAGACAAATAAGAGGTCCTACTTAACATTCTGGTTGTGGTGATACTGATCATTTCGATTCCTCTGATGATGTCGAGCGGTGAGAATGGTAGAAGTTAACAACGTTAGGCCATTGTGATAAATGCCATGCCCATCTCTGTGTTAAGGTCTCTCTCGTCACCTGTAGACCTGTCGAAGATCCATAGATAAGAGAAGACCATGCAGTGCCCAACAGCTCCTCCTTCCTCTAATAAGCTCTCCGCCGGTTTGCAGCATCAGCAACAGCAGCAACCACCACCGTCGGCTCACGACTTCACCAAAACTATCGTTCTGGCGTCGACGCCGTTTGGTATGGTTCCTGATGGGTGGACTGGTGTTGCTGATGGTGCCCAAATCCAGTACCCTGTTTTCGGTGCTGCCAACGTTGGACAGGAAAACGCCAGTGCCAATTCCTTCGAGAATAGCACGGAGAAGAGAAAAGCTCCTAAATCCAAGGTAAATATTGATCTCTTTTAGCTTCTGCCGATGGATATAACAGTAATGCGTTGTTGGGCACGACTCACGATGAGCTGATTCGTCTTTCTAGCAGCAGGAAAGTCGCAGCAGTGGCGCAGAGGAAGAAGGAACAGCCAGAGGAGGTGCAACATCCAAGAATAAGAAGAAAGCGTCAGGATCAGACGCTACGAAGGAGACCGATTACATCCATGTAAGAGCTCGCCGGGGACAAGCCACCGATAGCCATAGCTTAGCCGAAAGAGTACGTCACTTCCAAGTAGCCATGATTTCTTCTTGTGTCTCTCTGTCTCTCTCGGTTGACGGATCGATGGCGTAGGTGAGGAGGGAGAGGATCAGCGAAAGGATGAAGTACTTGCAGGAGTTGGTGCCTGGATGCAGTAAGATCATGGGGAAAGCCAGCACGCTTGATGAGATCATAAACTATGTGCAGTCTCTCCAAAGACAAGTCGAGGTTCTACTAAATCCCTTCATCCTTTGTAGATCTTCCGATGACATTTAACTCTTTTAACGGACAGAATGAGGAATTGTTTCTGTTTTCTTTGATTGCTGCCGATAGTTCCTGTCTATGAAGCTCGCTGCTGCAGAGCCCAGAATGCACCTCAGTAGTAGCAACTTCTTCGACAGAGAAGAGGTAAGTTCTCTCTAATTATTATGCCGCTGCGCGCGTCCCCCACTCACTCTACCAAGCAATGGAATGTGTCGTTACTGCAGCAGTTAAATGCACCCTGCAATTCCAGTAGTGTTCCGGTAATGGGGGTGTCATCAGATCAACTCAAGCACTCCGGCCTTCAGTTGGCCTCCCTGCAGCAGGATGCCTTGGCTTCATGCCTCGATGTAATGGATTCTAGACCATGTTCTTATGTTCTGCAATGCATACATGTATTGACGTGATGTTTCAGGTTCACGGATGCTCTACCTGGGACGCCGGTTTGCACGGCTTCCATGATGGGGAAATCCACCGAGGGAGTCATCTTTGTCCTGGCAATCAGTGCAAGGTAAATAATAATACTTCGATCGCTGTTTGCAGCCAGGCAGAAACAGCACCTTTTGCTTTGTGGGAAGTCTCTTACCCCACAATCTAAAGATGGAGATGCGATTACAGTTGGATTTGATGGTCTCGGATGTTGGAGGTACCAATTGCCGAGGTCAGTGACTTAACGCAGAGGATGGGTTCAAGACTGGTGCTGGTAACAAGATCTTTGTGCACTGCGTTAAACATCGTCTTGCATCTCCCTACTCCTGTATTGTCCCTACTGTTTTATCGTTGAGGAGTACTGGGAATACTCGTCTCCTAAGGATCCATTGGAATTCTCTTAAACAAGAGAAGATATATATATATATATATATACACATGTGTGTACAACATTTCTTTTTTATCATTATTATCTTAAGTTATTCCGAAAATGAGTTTATTTAAAAAAATATATATAATTTCATTATATTAAATGATGCACATGACACTTATATGTGAATTCGAATATGAGACCTGTCACTTATATAATAATGTACTAATCAATCTAGATATGAGACATAAGAATAAACTTATGCTGGAGCAATAAATATTAAAAAAAAAAATATATATATATATATAGAGAGAGAGAGAGAGAGAGAGAGAGTCTGCAATAATCTCGAGGAGAGTCCAAATCAAGAATTTATCATTTTTTATTTTTTTGAAAAAAAAAACTTTGACACATCAAGAACAGATAACAAAATTACAACAAATGAAAGGTAGGATTATAGTTATAGCAGCTGTGGCTGTGAGAAAAAGTAAGGTTGTGGCAGAATTTTTGGAAAATTGTACATATGTGCTTGTGTAGAGGTTTTGTTATACATATGTAGCACACTCAGAATGTACTATAGTTGTCCATGTTGCTGTTGCTGATCTTTGACGGCTTGTTCTGCGTTGATTTTCCGAAGGGTTGAAGAACTTATCTTGGTTCCTGTTGATTCCTCTGGCAATAAATCCACCACTTCAATCTGTGTTCACGATACGATGAGAATCAGGTGACAGATCCTCTACAACATCAAACTTATCATTTATGGTTGACTTGTGAGGAAATAACAGTAGGTAGTGCTAGATTTTAAATGCTCACATACCTGTAATTGTGATAAGCCTCTCTCAGTCCTCTTCCTGTTAACAGCAATGCCTCCCGGCAATGTTTCCTTGCTGTTGGACAAACAAAGTTTTAGATGTGGTTTCTCCTGATTGAATTTGGCACTTTTTTGAGCGCGACTTTGAATTTTCTTAAAGTTAAATCAATATAAATTAGAAGATAGGTATGAGACCTCACAACAATAGCGTCCAAATCTTTATCTATAATTGATGGACCATATGGATCTGTGATCGGCTCAACTTGCACCATCAGCTCCGGCTTAATTGACTGAAGAATGTTCAGTAACCGGGAAAAAAAAGAGAAAATAATTATAACATATGAATCAGCAATGGTGCAGAATCAATTAAGTTAACATTTTTCAGATAAATGAGCAAAGTTACATGAATTCTTATTACAAGTTGTGTTTTCACAGAAAAAAGAAGAAGAAAATTGTGTGATCAAAGCCTCTGGATATTGTTGTGTAAACATCATATTCTAACTTCTCACTGAAGGACCCAATGATCACAATTTTCTTCATGATGCTGCCGGTCATCACTGTAAGAAAACCAGAGGAAGCCCCAGAAGAAAATTCATTTCAGATAGGTTCAAATGCACACTAGGAAAAATGAAGAAAGACAGACATAAATAAAATAATAAGGAGATGAAACAGGAAAGCCTTTTTCAAAAGTGAGATCAAATTAAACAGGACAAGAAAGACATCAGAAGATGTTCTATAAAGAAGAAACACCAGAAGAAAATGAGAACTGAAAGAAAAACATTAGAAGAGGTTCTAGAAAGAAGACTTGAAGAAAGTCCAATCAGCATGCAAAAGAATATATCAAAGCATCAATCTCCTCACCCATTGTTTTTATGCTTGTGAAAATCCTATAGTTTCTGTCTGACCAAACAGACAAACATAATGTGTACTATTTGAGTACTCCTTCCAATATCTATAGACAGAGGCATGCCGGGCATTTCAGCACTACAAAGATAAAAACAGTTATAACATCTAGAGTTGAACTCAATACAAGAATGAGAGAGATGCTGCAAGGTCAAGTTAAAAAGACAAAAAAGAAGTGAAATGGGCTACAAGTGTAAGATACAAAGAATATTCTCAATAAAATACTTTGGAAGAATTCAAAGGACTGTTTTTCAAAGACTCATCGCCTTAAACAGGTAAGTTTGTAAGAGAAAAAAAGTGAAACCTAAACAATCGCTATGAGTGGTCCTGGCATACGTGAATCCTGAAGAATCACTAAGAGCAATCCCGGCCATGCCTGGGTTATTACTAAAGCCTTGGCTCTAAACTGATTATTCTGGCCTACAAAGGAGAAGAATTTTCCTAAGATATCATACTTTATCTTCAGTAAGGTACTTCGCATAACAAAATAATGGAAGACAGATAAAAGGAAATTTACAACAGCAGACCAATTCACCATATATGTAACTCGGAACAGGATTTATGCAGTTTCAATCAGATGTGTCCTATCAGTAGATCAGAAATTGCAATTATTTAACTGCACATAACTTTTGGATTGGCCAATATGAGGCTCTAATTTATGTTAGATTTGACCAGATCCATCAACTCCAAGAATCATCACTAGTCACTTTACCTGATTGCATAACTACTGACATAAACTTACAAACCAGCATAAACTAAGAATCTTCAGGAACCAGCACGAAGGACTTGCTGCACTTACAAATAATCACTACAAAAATTGTTTCCTTGAACTACAATTGATAAGAGAAAGGAGCTATATTCAATAGAAATGAGCTCTCTATATAAAATGACATTACAAAATTACAACAATGCGAAAGTGAAATGTGAATTCAGATAAATTTCTGCAGCTCATAAATTATGGTTCCTTGACTACTAAAATGTAAACTAGATCAGGGCCATAATGAGTGGAAACTAACAAGATTCATTCAGCAATGAAGGATGCTTGATGCAACTATCAAAAGATTACCTTAATGAAGTCCTTCACACTTTGCATGCGCTTTTCAGGTGGTTCTATTAGGAAAGCATACTGCAATTTCATGGAGCAAGGAACAAGATTTTATATATTAAAGACCAATAGCAAAAGAAAACTATTTGTGGAACTGTATCTGCTAAAATGGATCAAACAACAATGATATACAGAACCAGAATGAAGAAATTATTCTGCACAAAAACTTGTAGCAACAGCAAACAGTAGAATAATCGAAAAGAGACTCCAAGGCCATGACTGACAATGAAAATCTCGCCAAAGTGACTGACCTGATGCTAAATTTTGGTAACACTGCAGTGCAACGAACTACATCTAAGCCTAAAATTATAACTACGTTCAAGCAAAGGAATGCACATGGCTTTACTTAGCGTCAGCGGCTAAAAATAAGAATACTGTTCCACTGATCTAAACGGGGAGTCCTATCGAAGACAATTAATTAAATGGAAGACTCTCACTTGATAGCCTGTCAAATGACAAACCAAAATGGCTGGCATAAGAATACATTAATAGAGTATGAACGAGAAAGTTTGTTTCAGATTTGTTGTTGCACAGCAAGTTTTTCCTCTTCGATTATTGATAAAGAAACTAAATTGTGAATAATGCCAAGAGTAACAGCAACAAGGGGGACGAGAAATACGAAGAAGAGAGAGGAGGAGGGACCTCTTTCTTGCTCAACATAGGTCCATTGCAAACCCCTACGACGATCCGCTCCCTCGCAAGCTCCGCGGACGCCTACAAGCGAGCAAGAAAATTAAAGGAAACAAAATCTCGAGCCTTTGAGAAAAGCGCTATATGCAAACCGATCACAAGGTAGACAAGACGCGTACCAAACCCTGTAACAGCTATTACGGATAAAAAAAAAACAGAAACAAAGAACAGTGATCGAGAAGAGAGAGAGAGAAGAGATGGGACCTTGAGAAACAAGTGATGGCCTTGGTGCAGTCTGTCAAAGGTGCCTCCGATCACAACAGCCGCGTACGAATTCGAAGGAGAGGGATTGGGATTTACCGATGACATGCAGTCCGATCTGTCTCCCTCCCTCGCCGCCGAGGGAGGAGAGGCCGCCTTCAGATCATCCATCCAAAGGACAAAGAGATGCTTGCAAGAGAGAGAGAGAATAGAGGCGGAGGAGTAGGAGAGTAGAACAGAGGAGGCGACGAGCCGAGTCGAAACGAGAGGTAGGTGGCAAAAACTTATTTTTTGAGTTTTTTTGTCAGAAGCTTCTTTCATGGGTGAATTCGTTAAAAAAACTCTTGCTTTTTCAAATTTCTCGTCAAGTTTCCGTACTTCAAAAAATGTGTGAAACAATATTTTTTTTTAAATAATTATTTTACCTCGATGTCGATTGCTCCCTCAACCTAGCTTAACCCATCGATCATCGGTGCTTGCTATGAACCGATAGAGGGTGGCCTTCCACATGATGGAGGAAGTCAACCCACCTTCGCGAGGGTTGTATCGAAGGAGGTGGTCTCGTACATGATGGAGAGGAGGGATCAGTCGTCTTGCAAGGGTTGCAACAAAAGGGGCAGCCTCGTGCGCGATAGAGGAAGGTGGTCAACTCTCGCGTGAGGGCTACAAGTGGAGGGGAGTGATTCCGCGTGACAAAAGGGGGTTATGGGCAATGATAGATCAAACGAAAGAAGAGATAAAATAATCTTTTCATATATTATGGGTACTATTTTGAAAATTTTCAAAGTAGGAGCGAAAAATTTTGAAAAGTAAGTTTTTTTTTAATTCATCCTTTTAAAATTTTCAAACAGTGCATTTTTTAACCTAATATCTAAAATATTCTTTTTCTTATGTCTTAGACCATGGGGTGAATAATGTTTTTACGTGTTTTCAATAATATTAGAAAAATATTATAATGTAGTACAAAAATATTATAACATAATATTTTTATTTTTAGTAATATAAAAAATTATATAATATAAAAAAATATTATAACATAGTATTTTTGTGCTATGTTATAATATTTTTTGATATTATTAAAAAATATTATAATGTAGTATAAAAATATTATAATTGGATTGGTTCACCTTACTGTTATGAACAAAATTATAAATATCGATGCAATGTTTATTTTGTTCATGTTTTTCATAACATGTAGGGCTTATAATAAGTTTGGTAACCTCATTTTAATTGGCTTTTATGGTCATTTTAAGCTTGTAAACGTAGGTTGTGTGCAGTCATCATGCATAGGTAAAATTATCCAAAAATAGACTATATAAATAGTTATTTTGAGGGTTTTTTTTAGCTCTATAGTGTTATATGGGTACTTGTGAAAAGTTTTGGCTATGACAGACCACCTTGGATCCTTTGTTGTGCGATCGTTTAAATTTTACAAAGTTTATATTTGTAATTTATATTGTTTATCAAGTGCCTTTTCTTTAGGTTTCAAGAAGGTTGACCCTTTGTGAACGGATGCACAAGGGTACCATATGACTTAGGTAAAATCAACTAAGTTCATGACTAATTGTATCATAGCAGGACAAGCATACTTATAAATACTTGACATTTAAACATGAGAAACTTAGCGGGGCTGCGTTAAGGGTAGTCAGCACATGCGATAGTATGAAGGAAATGAGCATTAAGACGTAGGGAAAAGAGTCGCTCAGAAAAGTGAGCATCCGAGATTGTCATTCAGAGGAATGACCAACCTTTCATATAAGAGACACCACGAGGACAAGTGAGATAGGAAGAATATGCAATACACAAAAGTTGGGATAGCTGAGTTCAAGTTACGGCTTGACATTAGCAACCAAACTTGATGGTGCTCAAGGTAAGCAAGACCCTTGGTAAAGAATGAGACCATGCAAGAAGAAATAAGTTACTCAGTGATCAAAAGAGTTGTGTAAAGCTCATAAAGGTAAAGAAAATTGCTAACTCAAAGAATTCGATACTTATGCAAGAGCTTATACATGGATGATGAATTATCTGTGGTCATTCCAAAGCAATTGAAACTTGGCACCATGAAACATTGAAACTATCTTTTCAACATGAGAATGATACGTCTATAGAGAGCTAAAGTGTGTAGTAAATTCAATATGTTATTAGGCCTTGACGGGTATAATAAGGGTTATATTAGTGAAGAATTATAATTTAACAAGTGTGTTCGAGGGGGTGGAATAGTATACAATTTGTTTAGCAAGGTAGAGTAGTCCAAGGGAATAGTGGTCTTCAAAATTTCTAGAGAGAATGATGTGAAGAGAAAAATTACTCTAACAAAATAAATATCTATGAGAGATAAGTCTCGATTCTCCAAAGCGAGAATCATATACAATGAACTGCTTATGTTATAATGTACTTTAAGACAATAACTCTATAAAGCTCAATAGATTAAGCAAGTGATGAGGAGTCATCACATGATTTTACATAAGGTGATGCGTCGGTGGACACATTACGAGATCAAGTGGGGGAGTGATCGAAGGTAATACCAAATGAAGACACACTTAGAGTTGATGTGGAGATTAGACTAAACGAAGGGTTGACTAGTGGAATGGTGTCAACATCAACTCAATGTAAACCGAAGAGTGGAATAGCTTAAGTAAAACTTGGTGAAATGCTCAAGCCATATGAAGGGAGTCGATATAGAAGACGAAACATGAAGTATAGGCATAAAGATTTCCTTAGATAGAGAGGCCAAGAACATGAACTCTTGCAGTGGCAACAATGAGATCATGTCATTCTATGAGTCACTCGTTCTAATGGAATAGACTCATCTTATATGGGGCCAAAGTCGAAGGGAGCTTCGAGGAACATGCATATTATCTTAACAAAGCATTTGATGGAGGAACTAAGACGACTTAACTTGCAGAGAGAAAGTTAGAGTTAGAAGGCATGGGGCAATAAGATGCGAAGTGGATACTCTTGAAGAATATGTCGTAATATTGTCATTCGAGTTACGCAAAAGAAGCTGTATGCGGTAAGATTATGCTGGTGGCAGAGGTACATGATCCAAATAATGACACACCAATTTCAGTAAAGTTGATAGACTTTGAGAGCTGCTAGGTGATGGACTATCATAGAGCTGTGCTTCATTAGGGTGTGACCCGAGAGTCGGTAGATGAAGGTTGATTACTAAAGGAGCGAACACAATCAGAGGTGTTGGAGGCCTTGCGATGTATTGGCAGAAGCTAGAGATTGTAGTCTAAGTTCATCCAATAAAAATCAAAATACAATGGAGATGTAAGTAATAGGCAATATAGTACAGCAAGAGGCAATACAATGGAGATGTCAACAAGAGACAATATAGGCAAAATGACACACACGAGGGACTCGATCATATCGAGGTATGATAAGGAGCTCCACTTCGATGAATAATACAATGACAAGAAGGACAATAGTTTCAAGGAGCGATTGTCATAATACATTAAAGGTGGGTTTCCGTGTGTGCATCAAATTTTGTATTAAATAAAAACCTTGATCATCAATATATGGGGGCTATGTACCACTGAAGGAGAATTTCAAGTGTAAATAATAGTGAATCCCATGAAGGATACTTGAACATATAGAGATATAATTAGAGTAGTTAGAGAGTTAGATTACTCTAGAGCTCATTTTTGTTTAAGGAAGCCCGACAAGTCAAAGGACAAGCTGAGTAAGCGAATATTTCTACTAAGGATACAAAAGAAAATAGAATTGGCGTGAGCCCTGTAATATGATGGCAGAGGTCATGCATAAGAGTTGTTGTCTATCTTTCCAACCACCAAGGGGAACTGCTCGAAGGATACAGTGGTGTTAAAGCAGATAATCGAAAGAGTCAAAGAAGTGATGACGAGTCTAGAGAGATTTAGCTATCTAAAACTTAAAGTGTCGATTAGAATGGAGGTGGACTTGGAGTGCCACAGTATTACATAGGTGAATCTACCATTGTGAAGAAAGGGACGCAGATGTGAGGTGACAGAGAGTAGAGCCATGGGCTTGGAAACACTATGGTATTATAAAGGCAGAACTTTTATGGAGTCATTATTCTCTTGCTCTCACGGAGGAAGAGCACATGATCATGTGAAGGGGCCGAGGAGGTAGAAAATATAAAGGCAAACTCGAAGTACCAAGATAAGACTGAATGATAGAGGCCATAGAACTTCATAAGACTAGTGTCAATAGGCTTCTTATCAAAATAGCTAAAATGAGGGACTTCAGGTTAATGTAGGAATACTCGACTAAGGAACGAAATAGGTGTTACACGATACAATAACTTTTCTACTTAAACAAGTAAGTGATATAAATGATGGAGAAGATAGTACAATCATAGAGGTGATCAAAACTATTAGAGACTAGCTTTAAGTTAGAGTAAAATTTCACTCTTTTCAAAGAAAACTTCTTGCATTCCAAAAGTTTGATATCAATGAGAAGACGAATTACAATATATAACTTAACACAAGGAGTGCAAATACCTCGAGTGCTTCAGAAGTGTGAGCAAAGAATAGGGAAAGACTAGTAACCAACTTGATGCATGGAATGTAACCCTCGATGAGGTTAGGAAAGTTGAGTAATTTTTGCTTTCTCAACTCTTAAGAGAATGGGTAAAATCAAGTACCCCAGTTCTCTTATTTATTTAGAGTCATGTACATATTCAAAGACCCTAAGAAAGTGAAAGATAATAGTTATTAAATCATCACTAATAGTGATTGGTTCTATCAAGAGTAGACTATTCATTTCATTTCCCAACAGAATACTAATAAAAAATAAAAGTGATGCGAATATATTTGGAAACGACAACTAAGTAAAATAAAATTTGTTGGGCAAATTTTATAGAGGAAAGACTTCAAAAACTTTAAAGTTTGTGAGGTGATACTCATTAAAGACCCAATAAGCATTCACCCAATTCAAGTAGAATGAGCTATTTGAAGGACTTAAGTATAATAAGTAAGGTCTTTTCCTTTATTTGAAGGATCCGTAGAAACCAACAAAGATCAACATAACTCGATGAACCCAATATCAAAGTCTGAGTCATTGTTGAGTTGATACAGCATGATAGATTAAAGTTCAACTACTTAACAAGAATGATGGAGAGCAATTGGGAGCCAAGAGGTACATTACAACTAGGATAACAAATTGAAGATTCAACAAAGGTGAGAAGATACAACGTCTGCAAAGGCTTCGACGATAATGTCGAAGGAATAAATAAGGGAGAATGTCATAGATAAATTAATAAATATGACATTCGATATAATACTTACATGTGTCAGTTGTTTTTGGCTTTGTTTATACTTTGCACAACATGTAAAGGGTTTGTAGTAGGTTTGATAGCCCCATTTTAGTTGCCTTTTATGATCATTTCAGATTCGTAAATGTATGTTATGTACAGTCATCTCATAAAGATAAAACTACAAAAAATATGCTATCTAAACAGTCATTTTAGGGGGTTTTAAGCTCTACAAAATAGTATAGAGTATAAGCCAACACAACATCCAAGAGCTACTCGTGTGACTCATGGCTGGATGGGCCTTCGGGATAGTGTCTAGGGTTGGTTTATTGTCTTATTCCGTAGCAGTATTATGTGGGGACTTTTGATTGTTGTAGACTACCTTGGACCCTTTATCGTGCGATCATTCACGGCTTGCAAAGTCTATGTTTGTAATTTATATTACCTATCAAGTTTTTGTTGAAATAATTACTTATAGAATCTCGAGTTAAATACTTATTCTAACATATCTTCTCTTTTATATGTCCTTAAGGAACATAAGAGATTTTGGAGAGACGAAGTCTTTGCCAACGAACACATAAAAGGTGTCGCATGACTTAGACAAAACTAACTAAGTATATAATACTATGAATCGATCTATAAAAAAAGGAGAAAAATGATTAAAAATTTGATAAGTAGGTGAGAGTATTTAAGGCATTAGGGGAAAAAATTGTTTAGGACTTCTAAAAATAATAAAGGAAAAAATCTAATTTTTTTTTAAGAATTCACTCTATTATATATATATATATATGAATTAATCATGTAATTATAAAATAAAAAAGGAGAGTTTTTTCATCAAAATCAAAGGGTTATATATATATATATATATATATATATATATATATATATATATATATATATATATATATATATATATATATATATATATATATATAAGATTAATATCCATGTAATTATAAAAATAAAATAAATAAATAAAGGAGAGTGTTTGATGTCAATATTCCCCTCCGACATCGCAATATTGCAACAAACTGAAGCGTCCGAGGTCGAAGCGTCCCACATCTCACGTGTAATAATACAAGAGTAGGCGAGTGAGAGCCTTTCGCTTCAACCGACCACAGACTCCGCACCCTCTTCCATTTCTCCCCTTCCTCATCTCTCGAATCGGTCGGAAGAGGCAATCCGATCTCGAGAGCAACCTTCTTCCTTCGCCTTCTCTTCCTTCTCCTTCGCATCTTTCTTTCATCACACACACCCTTTCCCAAGCCCCAGAAAGAAACAAGGGTGAGATATCGATCGCGACATGGAGAAGATCTTGCATGTCTTCTGCATTGGGACTGCCGATACCAAACTGGAGGAGCTCCGTTTCCTCGCGGACGTTCTGCGATCCCGTCTCGCCACCTTCTCCAACGATTCACCGACTTTCAAGGTACTCGGATACGTGGATCTTCCTGCTTTTGCGCCCGTTACCTTCTGATTCTTGATCGTTCTTGACCTCCTGGTTCAAGGTTCTCCGATCTGCGATGAGTGTGCGTTTTTCTCGTCTTCGGAGCGGGGAGTCGTCCGTATTTAGAATCTTGGTCTCGCTCATCGATTTTGGTAGAATACTATCGTAGCAATGAGGTGATTCTAGTGGTTTACTTTCTTGCAAGAAAATCTTGCATATAGTAGCCTGGCGCTCCTCTTTCTTGGGAAATTGTTCGGGGGTTTGAAGTGCTTGTCTTTGAAGCGGACAATCCTAATTGTGTTCTTGCTTATTGATTTTTTTCGTTACGGTCGTATCGAATGATGCGATTACAGTGGTTGACTTTCTTGAGAGAACATTGGGGATATGGTAGCTGGCGCTCCAATTTCTTGGAAGTTGTCCGATCGGGTACCTGGGTTTGACGAATTAGACATCTGTTCTCCTTAATTGAAGATCTGACTCTGATGGTTGATACCATTATCCACCCGTTTCAGTCTTCTTGACGCGGGAAACTTTGTCCCATATGGTCAGTTGGACTCGAAGCTTCCATGTTGTTGAGTTAATTATACCTCAATGAGCCATGAGCATCAGTCTGAGATCTAGTACTTGCCGGACGACCCAAATGACTAGAAATTTTCTATGGGAAAGGAGACCTCTGCTTATGGGAATTCATTTTATTTGCTGGTATCATCTTCCGGTCCTATGGGAACTCAACTTCTTTGACTTGCTTGGTTTTAATATTCCTATATAAGTGCGGTTCTATTGACCTAGGGACATCAAGATTAAACATATAAATGCACGGTTAAAATATGAGCAGTCTGCAGCTAAGAATGAAATGATTTGCCACTTAATAGTAGTTGTCCTTATAATCTTGATCAACCATGGGTATTTTGGTGCTAGCATTATATCATAACAGTGGGTCTCATATTGAATAGCGCATAACTGGTGAATGATGATTACCGGTTTTCATTCATTTTATTAGTTTAAAGCTCATAACCTGATTGTTGATATCAATATATGCCATTGTCATAGGTCTGAGATCTAGTACTTAGATCTAGCACTTGCCAGACAACCCAAATGACTAGAAATTTTCTATGGGAAAGGAGACCTCTGCTTATGGGAATTCATTTTATTTGCTGGTATCATGTTCTGATCCTATGGGAACTCAACTTCTTTGACTTGCTTGGTTTTAATATTCCTATATAAGTATGGTTCCATTGGCCTTGGGACATCAAGGTTAAACATATAAATGCACGGTTAAAATATGAGCAGTCTGAAGCTAATAATGAAATGATTTGTCACTTAATAGTAGTTGTCGTTATAATCTTGATCGGCGATGGGTACTTTGGTGCTAGGAATGGAATTGATATGCCTCAAAGCAAGAAGCATATTTTTGTGAACATGGATGTTGTTGGCAGCGTCAGTAACATGACTGCTTTCATATGCACTAACAGCTCAAATGCTATGATATTAAACTGGTTTTTTTTATGATAATGTAGCTCATAAAATAGTTGTGATGCAAACCAATAATAGAGATAAAGATGAATGTAAATGATGAAAACACTGCATTTATAAGCCTGTCACTAGGAATATTCACCATTTGGCTCTTCTTAATAGGTATGTTTTTGTTGTACATATTTCTCTTGACTGTTTGTGTGAAAGAGGCAATGATCCATTGTAGTCAATTTTCTTAGTGATTTACTATTCTACTAAATGTTCATTTTTGTTTCATGGAGTGGCAGATACAGGCTAGTCTGGTCGATGTTTCCACCAGTAATAAGAAAATAGAATGCTTGGAAGACATTCCTTTTATCTCTAGAGATGCTATCCTTTCTTGCTACATGGGTGTTGAAGAGCACCCATCCTATAAACTCCCTGATGACAGGGGTAAAGCAATTGCGGTTATGGGTAATGCTCTAGGATGTTTTCTTCAAAAAGCTTATGAAGATGGCAACCTTGTTGGAGCTATAGGCCTTGGAGGCAGTGGCGGAACTTCATTAATTGCTCCTGCATTGAGATCTCTCCCTCTAGGAGTGCCTAAGATCATAGTATCAACTGTGGCTAGTGGTCAAACAGATCCTTACATTGGAACATCCGATTTGATTTTATTTCCGTCTGTTGTTGACATATGTGGTATCAACAGTGTTAGCAGGCTTGTGTTATCTAATGCTGGGGCAGCTGCTGCTGGGATGATCATTGGAAAATTTTTGATCTCTGACATGTCCGGTCAAATGGCTAAGAAACCAACTATTGGCATGACTATGTTTGGAGTTACAACTCCATGTGTAAATTATGCGAAAGAAAGACTGGAGAAGGAAGGCTTTGAGACACTTGTATTTCATGCAACAGGCATTGGGGGCAAAGCTATGGAGGAACTTGTAAGAGCAGGTTTAATACAGGTACCTTGCCTTCAACACCAAATTTAGAAGTTAAGAGAAGAGTGTAGAGGATAATGCTTTCTAGGAACATTTACAATAAATTTTATATGATTATCAAATATCAGAGATTTCTTGTTTTCTACATAGTTCAGAACATTACATCACTTTTTTGCTTTGCTACATACCCAAATCTTGGTATATATTTGCTAACTCTCAATCAACTTATATTTCAATTCAAAATATGCCCATGAGCTATATTTGCTTGTCAAAGTTGAAAGAAATTGGTCAATTTATCTTTTCTTTTTTTGAAAATTCTGGTTTGCTTACTTTGTTTCTCTTGGATGGATGTAGGGTGTCTTGGACATCACAACAACAGAAGTTGCTGATTATATAGTTGGGGGAGTTATGGCCTGTGATAACACAAGATTTGATGCCATTATGGAGAAAAATGTTCCTTCAGTTCTCAGTGTGGGGGCCTTGGATATGGTTAACTTTGGAGCTAAACATACAGTACCTTCTTTATTTCAGCACAGAAATATTTATGTACATAACGACCAGGTTAGTTCTGAGTGATTAATCATGTTTATCACCTTAGCCACTCTTTGGTACCCAAGCTTCTTAACTGCTTGATTTGCACAAGTTTTATTCTTTAACATCTGTCAGTGCAGATGAAAAGAAACTTCAGGGGTAATTTTTTTGTTTTTTTAATCTGAAATTATCTGAGAAAGATATTTTTCTATGTCAATATTCTTTATAAGATGAATTGTCAAAATAACTGATCGTCTATTTTCCCTCTTCAAGCATTGCATGAGAGGAAAGGACAGATGAAGGCTTTCTTTTTCTTTCGTCGAGGAGCATCTTATGACTGGTATTGTTTGTTTGTGTGTGAGATTTTATAAAAAATAAACAGAGAATAATATAACGAGTAAATTATGTTTGAAGTATTGAAAGGTTATCTTATTGTAAACATAAATTTTTTGAAATATTGAACATTTATCTTATTGAAACAAGTGTTTATTCTCTCTCCAGGCTTTTAATAAACAATGCTCATATAATAACAAACTAAACTGGTGTTAATGATATATTATTTTTGTTAATTGTTTCATTTTTTTTTTACCTCTCTCCTTCCTGAACCTGAAGTCATGATGAATAGAGTAGAACAATTATGTTAAAAATTAAGTAACCTTGATGATTGTTGCTTGTGTTCGTTCTCATCATATTCTTTTTCTGTTATCAAAGATTTTAAATCATGAATTCTTATTTAGACGAGTGGTTGAAATGTCAACAACTTGCAGGTTTCAGTAATGCGAACAAATATGGATGAGAACAAGAAATTTGCTAAGTTTATAGCTGAGAAAATGAACAAGTCATCATCAAGCATCCGTATTTGCTTGCCACAGAAGGGAGTGTCTGCTCTAGATGCACTTGGGAAGCCATTTTATGATCCAGAGGCCACATCTGTTCTGATAAATGAATTAGATAAACTTATTGAGAAAAATGAAGATCGACAGGTACTACTGACTTGTAGAAAATTTTATAGTTCACTCACCCAATTATCACTTTTTGAATAACTTTTATGATAAATTATCAGAAATATAAAACTGCTTACTTTCTTCTAGGTGATGATATTCCCAAACCATATTAATGATCCTGAATTCGCAGAAGCATTGGTTGACTCATTTCTTGAGATATTTAAATTCTCTAGAAGTGGAACTCCTCAACAAACTGTTAGGACACCAGAAAGCCAAAGTTTGGTAAATGATATATTAAAAGGGAATTATTCAGATGGCACAGCCATTTGGCGGGCTCCAATTGATTTTCCTGATGCAAAACCAGGTTTCACACTCTTTCTGTCAAATCAATAATACTGTCTGTTTTAGTACCTGATATTGCCATTTTGCCTCGCAGTTTTGAACCTTGTAGCAAACCAGTTAGTATACTAGAGTATTTTGTTACACAGTTTTGAACCTCATTAACTGGGATCATCAATATACTTAAAGAAGTTTGCTCAATAATTAATCGCATCATTCTTATTATTGTTCATTGACTTCATTCAGTGATCTTCAAAATATTAGCGGATTATACAGATTGTGGTTTGCTGAAACCTTGAAAATGCTAATTGAGGTACTTCCATATAGCTTACAGAATAGATCAATTTATAACTTTTGCTTAAACAAATGCAGTTTTCCTTATTTCTTTGAGGACCAAAAATAATTTACAAGGAATAGTTTCAGAGTTTTCATTCGAGCAAGAATTAGTGTCCACCTTATTCAATAGCAAGCATTAACACAGTTCCACAGCCTAAAAGATGCTTGGCTGCCGACTAGTGATCTTGTTCAACTTTTGTTGTCACGAACCCCAATCTGATGGGATATAACTGGTCTACTAACTTCATTAACCCTGAACCACTGGCATTTAAGTCGAAGTTAACAGTAGTAGATCCACGATCAATTTCAGTCTTCGTCCACTTCTGATGTTTGACTAAACTGGGGTATTACATTTGTTGTGATGATGATTACAGAAGTGTGATGATGTTACATGATTCTAATCAAGACTGATGCCTTTTGCTCCTGTATTCCTAGATATTTCGGGTGTTTTAGTTAGGGCTACACTACCCGAGCAAAGTATTTAGCAATATATAAATATATAACTGCAGACATACTCTAGGTATAGTTTGTGGAATATCAATAATTTCATCGTGTTTCTCTCTTTGATTGTGTAAAATACATGAATATTTAGAATAAAGTTTCATTAAAAATGGAAGTATACTATCTCCTATCTTTGTGGAATAAAATGATCTAGCTTAGAATTTTTTTATTGGTTGTGTTGATTATCATAAATGTTACACTTTGATTAGTCCCACATTAGAAGCAGGAGCATGACTATGGTGGTATATAAAGCTAGATAGGCCTACTAATAATTTAGTAAGTAAAATATAATGCTCTCTATCAGGTAGCAAATACATATTTATTTAAGAAAACAAATAAGCTTGTGGAATCAAGAACATGCATTTGCATGGCTATTATTTGCTTGATGTAGTCATGCATTTGTGCTGCTTAAATTCTTAAATACAAAAGCTGGATAGTTCTTCTAACAGACATTGCCTGTATATGTGACATAAGTTGTATATATCTCACTAAAACCAGAAATCTTTGTCACCAGATGAGAATGACAGGAGTCATTTAACATTAAGGAAAATATTTTGGTTATTGTCTTGCATATCTTGATTCATCTTACATATCAAGATGGTTTGCCATCTTGACCACCTTTGGATTGCATGTTGAAGTTGTGAAATGTCTTTGCATGTTCTGGTTTGCCTTAAATGCCTCAAAATATGGTTTCCTTCTGTAACATGCCTTTTGTGTATATTAGCAATAATCTATTTCTCATTAATATTACAGAAACGTTGCAAAGAACACGTAAAATACTGGACCATTTGAGGCAGCAGATAAATAAGGGTGTACCCATTATAGGGGCGGGTGCAGGGACAGGTATATCTGCAAAATTTGAAGAAGCTGGTGGCGTTGATTTAATAATCGTGTACAACTCGGGTCGATTTCGGATGGCGGGAAGGGGGTCATTGGCTGGATTGCTGCCATTTGCAGATGCAAATGCAGTTGTTCTTGACATGGCCAATGAAGTACTTCCAGTGAGTTATCTAGTACTTTGAGAAAGTTAATAACACAGATCACGGTTTCTGCTTGTTTAATGTATTTAGTGCATCTTCAGATCTGTTTAGTAGATTGTAATTTGGTCATGAGTCTCATGACTTGATAAGCAAAAAAAGGAAGAGTTAGGTTTTCTGTGGAAAAGAAGTACTGTTGATTTTCATAGTTATCCTGTCATAATGTCATGACTGTTAGCATATGTAGGTGGTGAAAAGAGTACCAGTTCTTGCTGGAGTGTGTGCTACTGATCCATTTCGCAGAATGGATTATTTCATAAAGCAGGTGGAAGCAACTGGATTTTGTGGGGTTCAGAATTTTCCAACAGTTGGACTCTTTGATGGTAACTTCCGCCAAAACTTGGAAGAGACAGGAATGGGCTATGGGTATGTCTATAGATGCTTTGCAATTGGTTAACTTCTTCTATTCATGTTGTTTGACTAGTTTTAGTAGCCAGTCCTAGGAGATCACATGTCTCACCAATTCTGTCATGGAAGACATGATTTTGCCTATGATTAGCTTCTCCTGATCAGTTTTCAATTAATAATAGCAGATATATTGAAGACGGATCACATCTTTTTTCTTGTTTCCTTTGGTTATATAATATTTCTAATGGTATCACCCTATTGTTTCTCTAATATGAACCAACTTGTTGCTTTGCCAGGTTGGAGGTTGAGATGATTCATAAAGCTCATGAACTAGGATTATTAACGACTCCATATGCGTTCAATGAAGATGAAGCCATTGCTATGACTAAAGCTGGTGCCAGTATCATAGTGGCACATATGGGTCTAACAACATCAGGATCTATTGGTGCAAAGACAGCAGTAACTCTGGATGACAGTGTTGGCCGTGTTCAAGCGATTGCAGATGCAGCAGTTGGAATTAATCCTGAAGTTATCGTTCTCTGCCATGGAGGTACATTTGCATGAAATTAAAATAAAAAATCCATTATAGTAACATATCCCTGTTTACTCTTTGCAAATTATATGTTGTGGGAATTAGTTCTCTTCCAAAAATAGAAAAGAGGGTACATCATTCTAGTAAACCTTCCATCTTTACTCAAAACTTACTCAAAATCTCCCTTGAGAAACAAATTATGTTGCATTTGCTGACTTCCCATTTAGCAGCATCACAATGATGGATGGTAATTGGTGTTTGGTTTATTCTTAAGTGCATAGGCATCATAACATGTATATTGTTTGCACGAGACTATTTTAACATGTATATTGTTGGTATCATGAGCCTTAATTTTTGTAGAATTCCTATAAATTGTGTAGGAACTATCTTATATGGGACACTTTAAGCTGTTGTAGGAGACATATAATAGATATTTTTGCATAAACAATAAACATATAATAGATATTGGACAATGTCTTGGCCCTCGTGATCTTTGGCAAGCTAGTGTCGTGAGATCCGTAGATGAAGTATGTATTTATATATGTATATATATGTATATACACATGGGAGTATTGAGACCTCAACCTTTGTTTATTACAAGACAAGATGATTACAAAAAAATAAAAAGAAGTCGACTGTCAGAATACTAGATAGTTGAGAGAAGATAAATCTCGCACTGTACTCGGATGGTGTTGCAGTGATGACAATATCGAGAAGTTGCAGTGAGAGATAGGGGGACATCACCCTTCACAAATGCTCAAAGATGGAATAGGATTGGATTCCACTGTTTGTTGCTGTTCTTGTAGGGTTGTTTTGTTATTGCAAGAAGTACACTACTAATACATTACACCGTTGTGTTAGGATTGTGAAAACTTTCTAAGAAAAAGTGTTTATGCAGGTCCTATTTCAGGTCCTCGAGAAACTGAGTACATTCTTAAGAGTACCAAGGGAGTTCATGGGTTTTATGGTGCATCGAGCTTGGAAAGGCTTCCAGTTGAACTGGCAATTACAAACACTGTAAAGGAATACAAAAGCATTTCCATAAAGAGAGATTAAAAATCCATCCAAAGCTTTCTTGAACGTGAATGTTGTAAATATCAGCTGAAAAACTTGCAAGAAACATCCTATAACTATTTTTGTATTCGAGCAGCACATTTGGAAGTAGTTTTTTTGTGTTTGAAAATAGTTTAAGAAATTCTAAAATTAAAACTCATGAAGTTGTTTCAAATGGGAACCACCTCCAACACATGCCCTATGCATTTTAGATTTTCCACATGCTGCTGCAAAACAGAGGCAGCTTGGAATCAACAGCCGACAGATGAGCCAGCTTCATTTCAATTCCTGCTAACATATATACCTAAGAACAACTAAGTTCTGCATACCTATACTAATATGAACGAGGCATGAAACAGAACAAGAAATCCACAGCTCCGAGAATCCCGAAAATTAAATAAATAATAAAAGACGAGCATCACAGTAGTAGTACACCATTGACTTGTTGGTTTAAACATCCTTCTGTCTTCTTCCCCCTTTTTTTTTACTTTCTAACTTACTACAGGCGACAAAGATATCTCACTTCATTGCAAGAATTTCCAAATCTTCATGATAGAATGCTTAGTTGATTTGCTATGAACAAAAATGAACTCTCCTGGGATTCTCAGGTCCCTTGTCATATAGGACCATCACAACTTGCATTGCCATTTCTATCACATTCATATTTTTGCTGGGTTTTCTATTGACTAAAACCTCAGAAGGTAACGTTTTGGGGGCCTGATGTCATTTTTCTCTTACTTGATTCAAGAAGGTGGATGACATTTAGATAACATCCTCTGAGCACCTCTCACACAATCTTAGATTGCATCTAGAACTAACACATCTAGTACATAGCTCATTCAAGTTCTATAAATTTGCATCTCTTAATAATCATCAGTGTTGACAAAATCATCATCCGATTGATTTCTGTTGCAAATATTTTTAATATAATCTCTTCGTATAATACCTTATTCAAGTTCCATATATTTGCATCTCTTAATATCATCAGCATTGACAAAGTCACAGATCAAATGGTCACTTCCTTCCTATTGAACAATGCCCCTAATATCTGTCCAACTCTATGCCAAATGTAAATAAAGATCTGAAATCATCAACTAAGATTTGAGATTAGCTTGAAGAAAAAGAATAGCTTGTATCCTGAAGTTCTCTCCCCATTGATTCGGTAGCATGTACTCTTATCTGGCATTAAAATAAAGAAAATAGGATAAAGACAAGAAAAATCTATAAAACAGTATCAATCTGAAAATAGATAATTTCCACTTTATCAGAAAATTTTGTTAGGTATCAACCATGCAGGCTTTGCTAACCTACATCAACACCCTGTTTGCCATCTGACCTAATATAAAAGTATATCTTTAACTTGTGCAGTTCACTGAAAACGTTAAACAGCTTGGCCTATTAATTTGTTCAGCTAAGAAAGATTTGTTCTTAAACCAGGTAATATAGTAGCAAAAGTTGAAATTATTTTGTATTTCCCCAACCCAAAAACTCCATTCCTTCTACTTCTAATGTATTTAATAAATTCAGAATGTTCATATCAATCGAGGCCCTATGTAATATTATTAACATGCAACTAGTACATGTTGCTTATACTTCAGCGCAAAACACATATGTCCATAAAATATATGCATGATTTTTCACATATAATTTGTATGGAGTTGAGGATTTTGAGTACATACTTAGGCTAACAAGATAACATTACTAAACAGATGATCAAAAAAGATCTAACAACAAAACCAACAGCAACAGCAATAAGCCATAGATCCAACTATTTTCAGGCAGGTACAAAATCCTTTCCTGCCTTGACCACTACTTTAATAGTCAAACTAAACAACATAAATCCTCTTTTACTGATATAGCATGCCATATGAACCTGTAATCTGCAGAGGAAAAGGGGGAGACAGACAGAAAAAGATAAAAAAAGGAAAAGCAGAGGAAAAGTATGTATCTTCAAGTTGGGATGGATTCTTATTTGATTGCCCCATGTGATTGATTCCCCCAGATGAAGGCTTGATTTCATGAACTGGTGGACCATTCCAATTTTTTAAACTGATCTGATACGTTCTATAGCGCTTCAAAGTTGTAATGACAGGTTTGTTAAGTCTAGAAATAAATAGACCAAAATTCAATATTTCTCATAGAAATAGATTGAGATTTAATAAGTTCAGACAGTTCACTCAAAAAGGAAGTAATTTCACTTGAAACCATACAAAACATCATGTGCACAAATCTCTGGATAACGCAAGCCATAGCTATCTTCATCTTATCTCTAATAAGAAATATTGTAAAATGTTCACAAATGCAAGCTTCTTTATTTTTTTTTCTTTTTTAGTAAACACATCGATTACAAAATTTCTTGTTTGAACAGCATTAACTTCTTCAATATATTGTTTCTTGGAGTTTCAATATTTAGATCCATAAAATATAGCACACTTTCCAACCATCTTATAAGAGTCATGGATTAAAATACCGCCCTTACCAATTGATCGTATCAATGCAGGCCACTATTTACCAGTTCGATTGCCAACCAGGACAAGGAACAAGCGATTCTGCACAGTTCAATCTAGTAGAGGAGGATGCACCACCTAGTAGCTGCCATAGCTATATTGTTTCTTTTACTTCTCTATTTCTCTCTTTCTATCTGCCTCTCCTCGTGGTGTCACTGCCACCTATCCTTTCCTTCCCCCTCCCCCCAAACCCCATCCCCAATCTTCTCTCTCATGCGCCTCAGACTGACCAACACCAAAAGTTAGTGTGTGATCCTGCTCCAGTACTATACTGGTCCGGTTGCCGACCAGTATCAGTACATGATTGAGAATTTGCTTATTAATGAGAAAACCTTAATCTGGTTAAATCAGATGGTAGACGTAATGGACAATGGCAGAAGAATGATATCCTAAAGGAATCAGATTATTGGAAACAATATCAACAAACGTAATACTTAATGAATCATAATAAATAATGGGAATACAACAAAAAGAAACCCGTGTCAACATCTGGATTTAAGACTAACCCCGATCAGGAGATTCCATGTTGCTATGCTAAGAAACGTAAAGAACCATAAGATTGATGTAACACCAAGAACAATAAAATTTAGGTATGATGCGCCCTGGTATTTAGTATCAATAAAATTTCGGTGCCATTTCTGCAAAGCCAGAAATGGAAAGCGATCATGACGGAATTGCAAGAAAATCGCGTCTGGAAAGGAATTCTCTACGAATTAAAGATAAGGAAGGAAAGGAATGAAAGAATTCTTTTTCGAAAAAAAAAGAAACCCGCCAAATCGTACATAAAATTAAAAGCAGAATCACAGAATCACCCAGAATCTCGAAAAAAAAGCAGAGCAAAAATAAAAAATAAAAAAGGGAAACTGGATCAAGATTTGAATGACGCTAATCAAGACAGTTCGTTTCGTAGGATTAAACCCCAAAAAATCTGCAAAGACGTTCCAAGTATCAATTAAGACAGGAAAAAGAATTTCGATTGATTGTTCTATTTTATTTTTGTTCTTGACAGATCCATCTATCACAAACCTTAGATCCAACGCAAGATGAGAGGCGGGAGACAACCCTTGGGGCGGGACTTGGGGATTCCGATCGCCATCCCACGACTAAGGCGCACGATCTCCTTTGCTTTGGCATCTACACCTTGTGGAAGAGATGAGAGGAGGAAGACAACCCTTGGGGCGGGACTAGGGGATTCCGATCGCCATGCCACGACTGAGGCGAGAGAGAGAGAGAGAGAGAGAGACGACCAAGGACGGCCAAGAATCGGATAAGGAGAGACGGAGACCCATGCAACTACCTAAGCACCCCCCAGTCATGGCAGCACATAGCGTGCACGATGAGCTGGATTTCCCAATTTGGCGATGCATCCCTCGTGCACGGCTTTTACATTTTAAGCGCGGCGGTATACAGGACAAATGTCGAATGAAAACACATACGTCAAGATCTCTCTCGCCTCGCTACCGCGGACGTGATTGGAGCCGGAATCGGCCTGTCACATGGGTTCCGAATGGGGCAGATCATTTTTTATTAGACCTTCCTTCCCCATTGGAAATTAATCAAAAAGAATTCTTATAAAAAAGGTGGTATATATGTTCTTCACTGGTTGGTTATCCCAATAGTCAAATCTGATAGGGCTCTGACACGAACGTGCCTTCCCTCCTTCCAGTGTTGGTCTGACGCATGCAATAATCTGTCCGTGGATCTGTCGATCCAATCACAACATCTAGTAATTATTAAAGATAAAAAAAAAGCTGTCTTACAATTTAGTAATGACCAGGAAACTGCCGGCATTGCATGAGGAGGAGGTGCACACAATAGCTTGCAAAGATCAGGATAGCCGATAACAATAACTAGAAAGCTCATACAAAAATATCTCAAGGGCATTATTTATTTGCTTCTCAGACTGTCCATATTCATTCTCAAGTAAAGTCAATTTCGCTGTTTTTCTCAGCAGCTGGTATTATCGCGTCAATTCACATCAAGATCATGTTTCATCTTAGGAGCAGCAGAAAGAACAAGTTCGTTGTGGAAAGAGATATATGATAGCCAATAACCATACCTAGAAAGCTTACATAGAAAGGTCAAAGGTATTATTTACTTCTCGACTGTCCATCATCTTCGTTGTCAAATAAGTTATTTCACTGTCTTTGTCAGCAGCCGGTGCGTTTCCATCGATTGGCACCGAAATCATGCTTCATTGAGCAGCAAAAGCAACGAATTTGATGTTGTGAAAGCCATCTATGTGCCGTCTTGGTTCAAAAGCAAAATTTCTTTTTCTGCACAAGTGTAAAAGAGAAGTTTCGTCATCTGATCAAACAACATCATAATCAAAACTAAAGAAATAAATCATCTTAACTAACCCGCATCTTAGCCTCCTCTTGACGGTCGATATATGCAAGAAGTTCATCCTGCCTCATAAGAGCTTCATGCAAAGCCTACAACCAACATAAAAACCCATTTCATTGATGCATGAAAGGAGATGCATCACTAAACATAGATAAACTAAAAAATATTGCAGACGTGCAAAGATAAAGGTAAAGTATAGGCTAGCTAATTGCATGACTGCAAGTATTTTGGCAAAAAGAGCAGATACACTCACCAAGATATATTGGCAATGAGGACCTCTAATTTATGAATCGAAAGATTTACGACAGATTGAGAACAGTTTAATTTTATCAAAGAATCCATATGTTGACAAAACAATGTTTTCGCTTAACATAATAACTCCATTTAACTGCCGCTTCCTAAAGCATACTCATTTGAATTATAAAAAATTAAGATTTGTAGAATAGATAGATAGGACACAAAGCACACCTTTTTGGTAGCAATAAGCTCAGCCTCCAATGCATCCACACGGCAAACAGCTGCATTGAGCAATTCATCTTTCTCTGAAGGCATTTCAGATGGTTTTGCTTGAAGTATGTTCACCTTTTCTTCCAGCTCTCCCAACCTTATTAGAAGGCGTGAAAGAAGGTCAGCCTCGGTAAATGCAGGAGCAGGTGAAGGATGACAGTATTCCTCCTTGACCATGGGGTCCACAGAAAACATAGGATCATGTTGATCTCTTTCAGAGACTTCATTGTGTAGCCTCTTTGACACACAACTGCTGACTGAACAAACCAGCGTAAAGAGGTACACGATGATGGTCACAAGGAATTGGATTATTTGAGCCCGAACTCCTTGTGGAGATTTATGTGTCTCAGGGTTAGAGCATTGTCCTGCAATGAAGTTCAAATGATCCAAGTTTTATTAGACAACAATGATTTAATTTGTTAACAGGGTCAAAGACTCAAAAGTACATAACATCCCAAATGCAGCAAAAATACATGTTTCAAGGAATTAATGTCTTTCAATTGCTAAAATATTTTGCTTAAGAGGATCCAAAAATAGCCCAACATAATTGCTATCAGATAAGCCTACATATCTCCCAGGTACTTCTTCAATTAACAAATATAAGCGTAAATCTGAACTTTACCAAGTCAATGCAGATGGCATGAAATTGCAAGATTTTGGACTTTCATATTAGATGTTCAGAAGATCTCTAGAACATGGGAGAAAAACAAAAAAAGCTTGGTCCTCGGAGTTTGGTGATCAAACAAGTAACCTAACTCGAACTTGTTGAATGTGGTAGGTCTGTCTGTTCTGAACCAATTTCTTGGAACCATGATCGTGAATAGGGCATGCTTGCTGAGTGGCAATCAACACATGTTGGATAATAGAGCCATTTGAAAAATCATATTCCTAATAGCTCCAAACTATTGGTAATGCAAAAAGAGTTACTTAAAGAAAGCAAACATGCTAACAAAGAGTTGATCATTCATCAAATTATTCATTTCCCTTCCCTTTTATTTAGAAATTATAACTGGTAGAAAATGGAAATAAACTTGGCTTGCATAACTACTATTTCAAAAACATTAGACTCATCGACCTTTGGATGCATATAGCCTTTTATTAGAGATCTCTTTCTTCCATCCGCCATCCACAGCCTTGTCTACCATGGGAACATATTCATCATACTCTGGAAAACCAGAAGAAAAACTAGCTGCCTTAACCATTTTTGCCTGCAGGAAGACGAACGAGGATATGAAAAGATGTTAATATTGACTTTTTATAACCTCTATCAACATTCATATCTAACATGCATAGATATTAATATTCATAAAATACTATCACAATACGACAAACTTCAGAGGCAACCTCCATGTAATAAATTATAATTAAAATTCATATCATTTATGCTTATTGTGATAACTTGATATAGAAATCTGAGAGATCCTTTTTTTCAGAATTTCAGCCAGATGCATAAGGACCTCTTTTTCATTTTTGCGAAAACACAATAATTAAGACAAATGAAATTTCATTAAATTTCTTTTATGAAGTAGTAATCATAATGCCTTTAGATCAACAGATGCATATTGTTAGATTTGTTAGATATGATATATTAGTGTCATATTTTATGCATGAATCATTAGTTACTTAATTCGATTAGTTAGAAACCCGTACTTCAAAACAATGATGGCAATGCAAACTCCTAAAATGACTTAAATGCTGCAAGAGATAACATTGTCATTTCATTGAAAAGATAAATAATAAAACAGGTATACTTGAACAGTGAAAACCATATCTAAATTCTGGTTTGAGTTGTCTGTTTAGGAATCAGACAGTCAAAGGATGACAATGCATCAAAAGGGCGATCAACTTTCTATCCTAGGATGGTACAGAAGAAACAATTTTGGTTGAAGAAAAGACCAAATGAATTGTTCTTGATTAGTCATTAATTCTATATTTATATTAAAAGACCAATATGTGATCAAAATTTTCCATTTATCTTGGTCATTGGATATAGACTGACAATGGAAAAACTAAACCAGTGCTCTTCTTTTAGATTCTCTCTATCGTGGGTGATGATGATAAGTCCCGTCACCAAGATGATCAAACCAAAACTCATATTTGTTATTTTATACCAAGACATAAGCATATCAAATAAATGTGTCAAAAGATGAATTTTGATGTGATCTATTCTGAAGTCAAATATAAAAGAAAGGCATCTCTATTTATTTCCTTCCACAGAGTCTCGAGTGAAAAATAAGAGAATTTGAATTCCATAGAACAACAATTTATAAAAACCTGCAGATATAAAGAATTGCTTTTTGGTGATTAGGTACCACTAATGTAAAGGATTTGCATATATAATGACCTAAAATTGGCACCAGGAAACTAGGATCAATTATCAAAATGCCAAGTAACATATAATTTTCGAGGGATTGTCAGATACAAATAATGTGTGAGGAGGGTGGTACAGGAACTACAATAAGTATATCAAAAGATCCCTTGAGACCATATAAAAATCAAAAAGTTATTCTATATTTACTGCTATTGACAATGGATGTAAATGTTACAAAGACAAAGGTTAAGATCATAACTAAAATACGGCCAAAAGACCCCAACTAGAAGAAAAACAAAAAAAAGAATGAATTTTATCATAAAATAAAATACATTGAAAAATGAAGCAGGTTACAATACAAAGTGGGCCAAATGTAAGAGGATGAGCAGTGCCATAAAAGCATACTAGAGAAATTTGCAACAGCAAAACTTGAACTTCAACATAATTTTCAAAGAGACAGGAAATGAAAACCAATCATATACCTACAACACAACCAGAAGACACAAGCTTACCTCTTCATGTACTGGGGTCAAGCGAGGATGTGATATATGATTCCTCACTGCTCTAGGAGAAGTGATGTCTTCAGCTTCTGATCCAGACTCAGCAGTAGACGTATCACTACCCCTTATCTGTTTCAGCAATAGAGAACTCAGTACTCTACAAAGTGGATTTTAGTCTAAGAACTGAGATCAAATGAGAAGACTCAACTCAGTACTCTACAAAATGAATTTTACTCTAAGGACGGAGATCAAATGAGAAGACTCACTGTTGGGTACTGTGGCTTAGCATAAGCAATAATCTTTTTTTCACCATTTGAAACAGTGACAATCTGCCGGGCACATTGTGCTTCACCATTGAGGACCATCTGTTTGACAACAAGAACCATGATAAACACTACATAAGAAAATGAAAGAAAAAGGTTGAAAAAAGTGAGATATTAAACAGAAACCTTCAGTATATTTGGGTCCTTCCATGGACCTTTTTCAGATCTTAGGCAGCCTCCTTGTTCAGCACAGGTACAACAGCCACCAAGGAACTCTGGCAACTCACTGGAGATAATCCAAAGTGATATATTAGAATATTAAATACCTGTCTCTCTAGTAGTTAAACATCATATGAAATAAGTCAGATTCAAAAATTCTGTTTCCTTGGAGGTTAAATCTAATATAAAATAATAGCAAAGCACAAACCTG